GTAGTGTCAAATACGTAGGTAGATGCGTACTCGATAGTTATGGAGACAAACAGCTTGTCAGATAAGCGGTTGTGCTACCCTAGAGACTGGCGAGCATCACGAGAGTAAAGTCTGGCTCTACGGCGGACCGATACTCCCTTGTCAGATCTAAATACAGAAATTGAAGCCTCTCTTACAAATTCACCAGAATCCTCTGCCAAGAGTGCTGCCTTGGCAGGTAGCAACTCAGTTTCAAGAGCTTGAGCTACCTTGTACGTCTGAAACAGCCCGTCGTCGAAACGGCGGGCTAGCCACACATCGTGAGAGAATTTAGGCATTGATCCAGACTGGGGTTGAATGCCAGATGCAAGACAAGTAGGCCAAGCGCCCCCCTCCAGGTAGCAATACATTAGGTTCTATCCATTCTTGTTGCTGCTGCTTACAAAGTTGCGAAGTAGCGGTTGCATCAGTCGATGGGGTGACAACAACGAAGACATGGCTTTGAGATATCCGAATGCGTTGATGAGGATCTCAGGCCGCGGGGCTGGCTGAGAAGGAGTCTTTGTTTCGGTGCATCTAGTATTGACGCCCTTTGTGAAGCCCTCGTACTCTGGCCACTTTTTTTCCAATTCTTGCTTCTCCCCTCCTGAGTAAACGGCATGCAAAAAGAGGAGACACGAAAAAGGGGTCGTTGGGCCACCCACTCGAGGAAAAAAACCCCCCCCACACCCCTCCATCTCTCCCCAGCGCAGCCGAACAGCTCCCGTTTGGTGATCACCAGTGCCCGAACCGCACGCGACCCTGGACACCGCCAGAAGCGACTCGCTGTTATCAGGAAAAGCTCCGCGGAACAAGTGCGCCTCTGTCAGTCAAACAGAGCTTGGAGAGAAGAGCTAGCCCGCCAAACCCCTTCCAAGCAGCCGTTAGGCGCTAGAGACCCGCTGCAGAGGCCCTCTTTGAGCCACCTACGCACCCGCACTGTCCGCTGGCGAGACCGCTGCGCTTAGCGGCCAGCCAGGGGAAACGTGCCATTTGGCGGCGAAGACAGCTGGACTCCATGCCATGGCTGCATGCTCCCTGAGACAAAATCTCCAAGCTCTCAACCTTGAACCAGTACATACCAACTAGGAAGAGCCGGCAACAGCACATTGTACACAGCACCAACATTCGTCATTTCTTGTGAGACCTGTCCTTTGTTGACCGGTCTCTTTCTCTTATTGCTACCATTGTCATCTATACCGCATTGGCTCGGCCACGGCCCCCGCAGCCCACATTGTCAAGGATATTCTTCCCAGCTCCAAACATTCGAAAAAAAAGGTCAATTCTATAGAGCCGCTGGATGGCTCATTGTTGAACGGTGCCTGTTGATACGCCATACAATCACCTCCTAAGCCAAGCAAATTGGAAAGGGAGCCATGGCGCAGCACGACGACGCAGCTTCCCAGCACTCGACCGAGGCGTCGCTGAAAGAAAGGCGGCCGTCTCTTACCGACTCCGATGTCGATGATACGGTATGTCGAGCGGTTCCCAACACAACACATGGAAAGGCAAATGCCAGGAAAGCAAGGGCTAACTAGTCAGGCCACTGAGCAGGACGCCTTCGAAGACGCCGTCGATGCCGCATCTGTTCGATCCTTGACCAAGAGATCTATTAGATCTGTATCTGCTACAAAATCTCAACCACCCCCGCCGGAGCGGGATGCCTCTGAGTCTGAAGCTGAAAGCGACGAGGAGGAAGAAGTAGAATCAGTCAAGGGCGAGGACAAGCCGGAACCTCCTTCGCGTGGCTCAACTCCATTGTCACACCGCATCTCTAATATCTCCAACACATCAAATCTTGACGTTGTCAACTTGGATGATGATGATGCTGCCCCACAACGCCAAGGTACGCCTCTCTCTCACCGTCTTATACCTACGTCTTGCTTGCACTTTACTAATTGCCTACTCAGAGCCTGCGAGCCCTTCTGAGAAGGACCAGCTAAGCAGAACAACTTCTCTAAACAACAACAACAACAACAACAACGTTACCACTCCAGCCCCTTCATCGCCAGTGAAGAGCATAACATCTACCGTCACAACCACCGCTGCCGCCGCCAGCCCTGCCCCTGCACCGCCGAGTAGAAAACTCACCAGCCCTTTCTCCTGGCTCTCTAGGAATTCTAGTAAAGACAAAGATGTCAGTGCACCCCCGGCAACTCAGACATCAGCGAGGAGAAACACTACTAGCTCCGTTGCTACAAACGGTAGCAACTCTGAAATGATGCTGAGCAAGCTCGAAGAAGAACGTGAGGGCGATGGTAAAGCTACAAATCGGAATAGCCTCAAAGATCGATTCAAGGTGCTTCGGCTGCAACAGGAAACTGGTGCCCCGCTCACCATAAACACTGATGATGTTCCGAGTGAGAGCGTCGAGGGAGAAACAATTACGGTAGTGGACTTGCCACCCAAGTCTCCCCTGCCCCCTCCAAGCGCAAGCTTGGCACCTGGAACGGCATCCGGTATCAACGTTGGACCCCCCGAGGTGGAACAGTCACAGGTTGACTGGGATCTTTGGCAAACCGTTGTCTATGAAGGCCCGGCTGCCGTTGCGCGATCAAGTGCTGAGGAGTTGAATAGGGCCATTGCCACAGGCATCCCTAGTGCCATTCGTGGCGTCATCTGGCAAGTGCTGGCACAGAGCAAGAACGAAGATTTGGAAGGGGTCTACAGAGATCTAGTTACTAGGGGAACAGAGAAAGACAACAAAAATCGACACAGCAGCAGCACGGCAGCAAGCAGTTTCAGCAACGCAAATCTCAGTGTCCAGAGTGGCGAGGGTGTAGCGTCATCTGCATCGTCTGTCAATTCTGAACAGTCAGGTGGCTCAGGGCCAAGAGCAGACAAAAAGAACGACAAGAATGCCGAGGCCATTGCCAAGGCTCAAGCAGCAGCCGTGACAGAAAGGATGCGTAAAGAGAAGGAAGATGTTGAGGCTATACAGAGACTGGAGAAAGTAATACGTCGTGATCTTGGTGCTCGCACTAGTTATTCCAAGTATGCGGCTGCTGCAGGACTTCAAGAGGGTCTTTTCGGTGTCTGCAAAGCTTATGCTCTCTTTGATGAAGGTGTGAGTTATGCTCAAGGCATGAATTTCTTGATTATGCCACTGTTATTCAATATGCCGGAGCAGGAAGCATTCTGCTTGCTTGTCCGCCTGATGAATCACTACGGCCTCCGAGATCTTTTCATTCATGACATGCCTGGACTTCATCGAAACCTGTACCAGTTCGAGCGGCTACTGGAAGACCTTGAACCTGCGCTGTATTGCCACCTTCATCGACGGGGCATATCTCCTCATCTCTATGCCACACCTTGGTTCCTCACACTCTTCGCCTACCGCTTCCCTCTTCAGCTTGTGTTGAGAATCTATGATTTGATCCTTTCAGAGGGCCTGTCAGCCATTATTCGATTTGGTATCGTTCTGATGCAAAAGAATACTCAAACCTTGTTGGAGATCTCCGACATGCAGCAGCTCACAACTTATCTTAAAGATAAGCTTTTTGATGTCTACATCGACAAAGACCCTAGCCAAGGTAGTCTTTTGGAAAATGGCTTTTTTGGTAGCTCTAGCTCAGGTGCCGACAAAGAGATTTACAGAGCAGACCAGCTGGTGAGAGATGCTTGCGAAATCAAGCTCACCGCAGAGCTTCTCGAAGGATATACTGCGGAGTGGGAAGAAAAAACAAAACTTGAAAAAGAACGAGAGACGGAGCTCAAGGATCTCCGAACATCGACCCAGAGCCTTACGATCAAAGTTCGAAAATTAGAAGAAAGGGTTGAAGTTTGTGATCGCGAGCAGGCTGACCTGGCCACAGAGCTTGTTCATACAAAGGTTGAGAATGACGAACTCAAGGATGAGAACGACGCTCTTAAGAACCAAGTCCGGGAGCTCAAGAATGTGCTCGAGAGGCAGCCGTTAGAGATGGAAGAGACCTGGAAGCTTGAGCGTGATGATTTGATGAAGCGTAATGAGAAGGTGCATCTGGAGAATGAAAAAGTTGAAAAAGAGTTGGCCGAACTGGAGGAGGAGCTGGTGCAGACAAAGTTACGATATGCAGAGGTACGTTTTATATCTATGGATGACACCGTCATCGTTCTCAAATGGGGAGAAACAGCGCTAACCGCACCTATTCAACAGATTTCTGCTCAACACGAGGCTCTGAGTCGCAAGTGGGCTGACTTGAAGCGCCAGTTTGTTTAAAGCTATAACTCATCTTTCAATTTGAAAGAAAAAAAAAAAAGCCAAAAAAACATCTCCAATCATTACACTCAATCATTCTTACACTCCCTTGCTTGATTCCCCCCATTCTTCGTTCACGATCAAATCACGAGACAGAAGGAATACCAACTTATTCTCATGACCATCATATTTCTCCCTCTCCATAATTTCTCCCGTTAGTTTAACCGTTTTCACTTAAAAAAAAGTTCTTTGGAGTTTTCTCTTTCACACCCTTTTAGTGGCCAATCAGCAGTACATATGCCCAGCCAGTTATATACTGGCTGGTGATGAAATGAAGGACTTTAGGAACAGCATTCACGCTCTAGCAGGATTACGACATGCATGTTTTGTTTTTTTATAGGACAAGAGTTTTTGCAGAGATAGAGAGGGAAAAATATGAAATTTTTATGAAACAGTAAGACATATATGGAATTCCGACTTGTGCGGTGATAAGGATGTGATGAGTATCTAAAGCCTTTACAGACTATGACCCGTTACTCTTTTCTCGCAAAGTTATACGACGCTAATACTACTAAGAATTATGCATACGAGCCTATTATATGGATATGCAACCAGAATACATCATGCGCATCACAAGTACGAGTATGCTCTAGCGGAAAGACGGGTGTATTGAATTTTTTTTCTTGTCTCATTATCATACTAGATGAAACAAACATGGAATTTTTTTGAACATGACTGCAAGAAAAAGATTTTCATTTCCCTATGGACCCATTCCGATGCTTTATATGGAAAGGGTCTTGATGCCCTGAAAATGCCCAAGATGTAACGAAAAAACCTTGAACACCCCATCCGACTCACGCCATTTTGTTGCGAGTTTATTTGTGCAGCTTCTTCTGGTAGAAAGCCAACTCCTCACCCTCCAGGACGTAACCGTCACAGCGGCCGGACTGACCGGGTCGGCTGGTGACAACGGCGTACAGACGACCGGCCTCGAACTGCTTCTCAACAGCGGACTCGACCTTGCCGGAGGCGGCGTAGCGGGCAGCCTGCTTCTTCTCGACGGAGTTGCTCTTCTTGACCTCCTCGGTAGCCTCCTTGCCCTCCTTGGCGGCCTGGGCCTTCTGGCGTCTGCGGCCGATGGACTGGCCGTAGTGGGACTCGTACCACTGACGGAAGGGGGCAGCGTCGATCTGGACAATGGCGCTACGGGTCAGGGTGTTGGTGCGGACCAGCTCGTTGTTGGAAGGGTGGTAGGCGACGGCAATGACACGAGTCTTGCGGGTGCAGCCCTCGGAGGCCCAGGCGAAGTTACCGGAGTCGAGACGCAGGGCACGGTACTTGTGGTTACCACCACGAGTGCGGACGGTGTGGATTCGCTTGGCACCAATCTTGGTGTTGGCACCCTGGCGGCCAGCCTCGAAAGCGCGCTTCTTCCCTGTTGATGGAGGTCAGAACGTATGTTTTTTCAAAAAAGAAAAAGCTATACGGGCTTTCGGAATTATATATCAGGTATGGTTGTACGCACGGTAGTAGGCGCGCTTGGCACCAGAGGCGGAGCGCTTGTGGCGGGAGTCACGAGAGATACCCATGATTGCGAGTTCTATAGGCAAAAGAAGAGAAAGTTGGTGGTTAGCCTTTTGAAAAGTTTTGAGAGAGAAGAGTATGTAGAGAAGGAAATCGGTCGACGAGTTTCCCTCCTCCAGCAGCAAAGAACAGCTTCCCCTCCTCCAAATCGAAGACGATAATGGTAAGATGAATTGATTCTTTTGATCCTGCTGAGCTGGAGGGAAATCCTCGAGCCGCCTTCAAAGAAAATTGGCAACACTTACCTGATGATAATGGTGCTCACCAGGGCAATCGATTTGTCGGAATGTGGAAGAAATGAAACTTTTTGGACGAAGGCCTGGAAGAAGTGGAGGAACTGAATTGGGTCGAAAATTGTTTGTGGGTTGCGCTAAGCCCGCGGTACGTACCTCGCCTAAGGGCTTTTCGTCGGGCACTGCGTTATTCCGCAGCGAAAAATTATGTGCGCTGCTGGAGGCACGTGATTCCGCGTTCGCTCGCTAAGCTTCGTCCCCGGTTTATTTTTCGAAAGAGGAAATCGCGGGCTGGAGATGCGTGGGACGAGTATCGTAGCCAAGAGAGCATGTCACTTTTATACTGTAGCTTTGCAATAGCTAGCAATTGCGGTCCAAGATTTACTGAGATTCGTTTTCATACCAAGCTGCAAGATTCCATTTTCATTCATTTAACCATACATCAGACCAGAATTGTGTACTTTTACATGTCTCCTCTTGTTTCTCTCGTCTCAGTGACCCCGATTTTCCGTCTCATGCTTCGTGCATGCGAGACGTCGTCTCTCTCAATAGTCCAAAAGTCCTATCGAACAGCAAATTGACTCTCCACTTTCTCTTTCTAGATGTTTTCAGCAATACTTGTTGCGGGCATCGTCTTCCGTGATGCATATCTCACGAGCTGATCCTCTCGATATCCAATATAAATTCCTTCAAAAACCCATTCATTTCATGGGGCTCCAACTGCGGCGGTTGCTCGCTCGGGTCTTCATCAGATGATGAGGTGACGGGTGGGATATTCCAAGATCCAGTTTTCACGGCCTTCTTCTCCTACAAGATGGATCCGTCTGCTTTATAGGCGCTTTCCTGCTCTCTCTCTAGGATTTTGGGAGCGACGACGTTCATCCGAGGAAGGGGGAGGTATCGACCGAATCTAGCACGTTTATCGCCTTCTTCCTTCAGCTCGGCCAGCGACGGCCATTCGACGCGTTGGCTTGCTGTGGCGGTGTCTTCTTTGTTGAAGCAATTCTGAGCAGCGAATACTGGCGAGAGCTTGTCCTTCATTTCCCGTCCGTTGAACAGGAGCACCTGTGGCTGGGATACTGGTTTCGAACCCGACGCCTTGGCCAGCTCTTTATTCCGAGTCTTTTCTTCAAGGATCTTAACCTCTTTGGCAAGCTTCTGGCGCTTGGCCTCTGCCAGGGAGACTTTGAATTTGGTCAACTCAGCGGGGGTCTTTGGGATGAATGGCGATTGGTCGGCCTTCATGAATTGGAGATTCAGGATCATCTTTTGAAATGCGCGACGCTCTTTAGTTTCTGAGCTCACCCATCGCTTCGATTGTGACCACGACGCCACTTCGGTGGAAGTTTGAACAGGCCTATGAGTGACCTGGCTTCTTCTCGAGAACCTGGATGATGGGCTGGTAACAACACTCGATGATTGCATCGTGGGGAACCGAACGACTTTTTTTTTGTTGCTGTTGTCAGCCCTTCATAGATTTTTAATGATGTGATTGTTGTGTAGAGGCGCGACTTACCTTGCTGCATTGGCTGATTTGAGATGCTATGACGTGGCTGAGGGCCGAGAGGCACCTGGTGGGATTGTTGTAACCACTGCCGGTCTTCTTCGCCAGTCTTCTCTCTAGCCTGCGGACTGTCGACAGCTGACGGAAGCTGCATTTTCTCGCTGACGCTTTGATAATAATCTGAAGGCTTAGTTTCATTATCGGAAGCCTGATAGCCAGATTTATCGACTATATGACTGCCTTGATCGATAGCTTTATTCACCTCGAGATTCTGCTGCAGGGTTAACATTTGAAGTTCAAATTTAGAAGAGAAATCGTCATATGGCAAATTTCAGACCGCAGGCTACCTACCGGGGGGCAAGCATAACCCTCAGGAATATGATGTGGCATATATGGTACCTGTACATATGGTATGAAATGAGGATGACTGTGAATTGGATGGCCAAAACTTCTGTGATCCGCCTGCTCTCCGTTAAGACCAGGGTTCTGTTGATCGACATGAGAGCTGGCATTTCCCACAGAGAGGTTCACAGAGAGGTTTCTATGTGGCCAATACGTCACTGGAATAGCAAAAGCAATTTGATCTGGTTGTTGTGGTTGATCTGTCGGGTTAGGAATCATCTGATAGGGAACCATGTGAAGCAATGGAAAGCAACCTCCTTGTGGAGGGGGAGGATGAGGAGGATATATACTGGGGGGCATCGAGTGGCTTGGATGAAGGATCATACCGCCGTCGTGTTGCTGCGGAGGAACAGCTGAGAATACATAGGGTGGATGCGAACCTGGAGGCATCGGGCCTGGCACTGGACTTGGCACCAGAGCGTCCTCCATGGACATGGTTTGTGAGCCCTGCACTGATGAGTTACTGGTTAACAATCCACATAGGGTGGAAAACGGACTTTTTCTTGCACACTGCCATTGTCTTCCTCTGTCTCTGTTGTTATTGTTGTCTCCTCGCTAGACATGCGACGCTGCTTAGAAGGGGTAGCTTCAAGAGGCGTTGAAGCCCCTTTGCCACTTTTGTCTGGCTTTGATTTCTGAGGGGTCTTGCCACCAGCTCCAGGAGTGCGTTTCATCCTTCTTCGTCTAAAAAAGAAATCATGAGAAGGACCCTCTGAGGGGTCGATCTTGAAACGAAGAGGCGAGGGGTTCTGGTGCACCGGTTCGCTGGAGTTTGGGGCCGTAGGACGGAGCATCTGATCACGCGTACAATTAGTAGCCGCCTGGCCCTGTGAAACCTCGCACTTGGCTTGCGCGATCGATGAAGAAGAATGATTAACAGAAGGAGAGCCGTCAGGCGGCTGACGAGTATCCCTTCCTATACGACACGACATTACCTGATCTCGAGCTAGCAAATCGGCCGCTTTGTTTTCATTCTTCTTATCTTGTACAGTTGAGCGAGAGTTCGTAGTACGTGGGGTAGCAAATCTCGGTTGAGGTGAAGCAAATGGAATGAATGGCGCAGCAGTAGGATTCATTGCCGCATTATCATTTCGATCTTTCGACATGTCTTGGGCACTTCTATATAACTGTGTGCCAAAAGGGTAGGGAGCGTGATGGGGCGCATGAACCCAAGGTTGCGGGACAGTGGTAGGATAATGAAGAACCCAAGATAACAGTTGAGGGGTGATCTGAGGTAAACAAAGCTCGTCTGCCTCTGAATCATGCTCTGATTTGAGCAGGATATCGGCTCGTTTTCAGTCGGACACGTAAGCTTTTTACCACGAGTGTTAGAGCTGGGCAGATGGCAGCTGGCTTGACAGTGTAAAGAGAGCAACTCGGTAACTCTAGTGGGCAGCTGGGAAATGAGGAAAAAAATGGTGCTCATTGAATAGTAGTTCTACAGCGTATTTGCTGCCCGACTGGTATTTTAAGTGTTAGGAGAAGCATAAGGTGAGAATGTAGTTATCTTAAGGCTATAAGACAGGGGTGGTTGGCTAGAGAGGTGCAAATAAAAAAAAGAAGAAGAGGAGAAACTCGAGCGTGCTTAGATACATTAAATTCACTTAATCGCCATTTGACCATTGTTTATTGTAAATACGGTATCGTATATTGCACTCTGCCTGTTAACAGTTAATGCTAGTTGGCTAGAGTCTTTGAGTTGTTGATTGGCACTCTGACTGTTAAATTTGTTTTCTGTTACAAGAGATGCTAGATGTAATATCTAACAGGTAATACCATGAAAGAAACAGTTGTTTGTTCGTATAAAGATTGATAATTTTTTTTCCAGACAAGTATCATTCTCACCAGCTATGATTCCCCTATTCTCATAAGAAAAGTGCAAAGTTTAGTACCCTACTTGACTCACCATATAGACTTGGGGAGAAACTGAGGTGTAACAGTGTTTCTTTGGCACTTCAATTATCACGAACAGATACAGAAAAACGTTGTCTGCATAATTTATAAACAAGAAGATTTTTGGCTTGGCCACTCTTTTACACAAATCTGCATTTCAAAGGTATAATAGCAATGCTAACAATAGCCCCCCAGCACGGCTGAGAGCAGATGAATGCAGCCTGTGACGGCTACTGGCATTGACAGTGGCTCAGCAATATGTAGTCATCCGAGCACCATACGCTTCCTTCTGGCCTTGTATAGCGGCTTCATTTGTATTGTCAAAAATACGCCATTAAACTAACATATTACAAGCATGTGAAATGCAATAACCTAACATGCTGTGTTAATCTGCCACACGGTACCTGGTCGGCAGTTAACGCTAGTACTTCTCTCCCGCCACAAGTCTACCGTGGTGCTCCAGCGCCGTACCCCGCTACCAGCCCTTCCGTACCGCGTATCCTCAACACCCCACCCACTGCAGCCCATCCCGAGGAACGACCTTGGTGTCTTTTTTTCCGCCCCAACACGATTTATTGCCTGGAGAGGTAGCTTCAATTTCTCATCCTCCTATCAAGCTCGCGTAAACACCACAGCTTGGCCCTCAAAATGGCCCCTCTCACAACCCTCAAGCTGACAAATCGCTGTACGTATTCACCGCTGCAATTGGATTGATTCGATTGGCAATTCGAAATTCACATGTTGCGAGCGTTGGACTAATTTCCGGGCCCAAAAACAGCTCCCAAGCAGGGCATCAAGAAGCTGCCGCCGACAATCGACCTCCCCGCCGGAGCCACGGTCGAAGATGTCAAGAAGCTGATTGCCAAGCAAGCTGGCATCAGCGACCACAACCGTGTCGGTCTGTTTTACACGTCGACGAGGAAGACGCTCAAGGACCGCAAGGCTGTGATTGCCGAGGATAAGGATGTTGCTGAGGCAGGTGAAGTGCTCGTCAAGGATCTCGGTATGACGCCCCTTGCGTTGTTTGCCCTTTTTTTTTTTTTTTTTGTTACTGAAGCAATTCTTTTGTTGATTTTAAACCTAACATCGCCCTTTTAGGCCTCCAAATTGCCTGGAGAACCGTCTTCGTCATCGAATATCTCGGCCCCATCCTCATCCACGGCGCCGCTGTCGCCGCCCGGCCGTATCTCCTCAAGGACCCGTCCATGTCCCCCTCGCAATGGCTCAGCTTCGGCATGATCATGGCGCACTTTGCCAAGCGTGAGATCGAGACGCTCTTCGTCCACAAGTTCTCCGCCAACACCATGCCCGCGCGCAACATCTTCAAGAACAGCTTCTTCTACTGGGCCTTCTCCGGCGCCCTATGCGCCTGGTCCATCTACTACAGCCCCTGGTCGTTGGCTGCCACGGCAGACCAGCCTCTCGTTGACGCCGCCGGCACTGTGCTCTACCTGTTTGGCGAGATTAGCAACGCCTTGGTGCACCTGTACCTGTCTAGTCTGCGGTCGTCTGGTGGTACTGAGCGCAAGATCCCGTACGGCTACGGCTTCTCGCTTGTTACTTGCCCCAACTACATGTACGAGATTCTGGCGTGGGCGGGTATCATCATTGCTAGCCGTGACTGGTCCGTAGCGCTCTTCATCACCATCGGTGCGGTGCAGATGTTCGTCTGGGCTAAGGGCAAGGAGAGGGCATACCGCAAGGAGTTTGGCGACAAGTACAAGAAGAAGCGCTTTGTTATCCTTCCAGGGCTGCTTTAAGCAAGACTGCTTTGTGTCAACTGTTACAGTATGATGGATGGAGACGAGAGCAATATCATATAATAACATCTATCACCTATGATGAATAGAGCAAAAGAGGAGACTAGATGAGAGAGATAGAATGAAGAAATGAAATTGCTTGCTGTACACTGCACGCTCTCCCATACTATCACATATTTACCCAAGGCAAGACTCTACCTTAAGTGTCTCTCGTTTATCGCCATTAATTCCCGTCTCTTGACATCTCTGCTGTCTGCTTGTTTGGAAACTCGCAACCCCCCTCAACAGTTTCATCCTCTCTTAGGCAGACTTGCGCTGCTACTACGAGTGAAAATGGTAAAAATGAAACATTTCAAGAGGAGAAAAGACAACTCCAGCTCGTGTTAGGCCGAAAAATCACAAGGCAGTGATCCACAGCACCATCCTTCATGTGCATCAAGACCTCCTTGGAAATCAATGTGATGGCAGCCATCAGCAGACCTCCAAACCTTGGAATGAAAGTTGTAGCTTCCACCAGAGTCTTCTCTGAACCTGTTTACTAATTAATATTTTTTCATAGTATATATAACCACCTGGCATTATCTTGACCTGAGACTTACACAGGGTAGCATGCGAATGGCGAGGCGCACCCATCAAAGCCGCCGGGCAACTGAGTTGAATATCTAGAGCCGGTGTTATAATCGGTTAGGTGCACCCATTGGTAAACACCGCCCTCGTCTTCGTGCTTGGGCTCGGCTGCCATTTGGCCCCAGAAGGCGTTGGCCGCGCCGCTAAAGGCAGCAATGTTGTGGAAAAGATATGATGGCCTCATGGTTTTTAGCAGGTGTAAAGCGTCGAGAAGAGTGGAATGCAGTGAAGAAACAATCTAAAGAGAATGGTGATTTTACTATTCAACAGAGTCGTCCTAAACATGCTCTTTATAGATCATCCAGACATCAAATCTGGGAGGGGAGTGACAAAATCATCTCCTGATCTTACAAATGAAAATTGTTTAAATTAAGCTTATAATAACTATTTGGAAAAAAAGAAAACATCCACCTTCTACATACGCTTGTTTAAGCTCAAGTCTTACCGTTCACAACCCTATAAAACAAGTGCTTATACAGGACTTGGCTGCATATGGAGAGTCCCTTTGTTCTACACGACAGCCACCTGATACCCGGCAATTTCCAAATCCAGCCATTTCGGAATAGCTTCTCGTATGACACAAAAAACAAAATCACTTGTCGTCGAATCGAATAAGTCGCCAAGCACAAGAACAGAGCAGCATCACATCACCCTGTCGATATCGAGGCCGTCTCCGACCCCTTTGCCCGGCCCGTGCCGGTGCTCGAGTCCAGCTCCATCAGGCTCCGACTGGCATCCGACATGGTGTCCACGTCCATCCTCGCCCCAACACCATCGCCACCATCACGACCATCCGGGCCTTCATCCTCTCCGTCGCTGCCTCCTCCAGAGCCCCTCCCGCACTCGCTGCAGCTGCAGCTGCCCTCGCTGCCCTCGTCATCGTCATCCTCGCCCCCATTCGCCAGCCGCACCGTCTCCTCCAGCACCAGAAACCCCCTCTCCAGCACCTCGGCCCAGTTCTGCACATTGCCCAGCTCCTTGACCCTGCGCGCAGCCTTGTCCGCCTCGGCCTTGAGCTTCTGCGTCTCCCTCCGCAGCCCCTCCGTCGCGCGCAGCACGTCCCGCTCCTGCTTCTCCAGCGCCGCCGCGTTCTCGTGCAGGATGCCCGCGCGCGACTGCAGCTCCGAGTCCAGCATGTTGCCCATCGAGGCGACGACTGCGGCGCGGGCCTCGGCCACGTGGCGCTGCGTCTCGGCGGACGGCAGCGTCGGCTGCAGCGCGGGTGAGGCTGCGGCCGTGGTGGAGGAGACGGAGGGCGACGAGGCTGTCTGTGCGAACCAGCGAGGCTGTGCTGAAGGCGAGGAAGACGAGGCGGCTGCGGGGGGCATGTTGTTGTTGTTGTTGTTGTTGTTGTTGCTGCTGCTGTTGCTGTTGTTATTGTTGCTGCTGGAGGAGGAGGCGGCGGCGTTGTTGTTACTGTTTGCGAGCCTTCGCAGGGCGTTGATGGATGATGAAGTTGACATTTTTGCGCTGCGGTCGTGGTTTCTGTTGTAGCGGCTTTCTATTCTTTCACACTCTCTCTATATTCATGGTAGCAAGAACAACAAGTTAGATATACCGATGCAACCTCACGCCCATCATTCTCGCAAGCTCAGCAGTGCAGGGTTCTAAAAGATGCGGCTAACATCAATCAGACGTCCAAGCCCAATATATACTTGACATCATGCCGCCAGCAAGTTAAAAAGGGTGCTGTGGGGTGGTCGTCATGCAAGGTCGGCGTTTAATCTGCAAATCACGCCTATTTTGAGCTGCATGTATGCAACCACCAAGTCAAAAGGACAAAAGCGTATAGGTGCGCTGCGCTTAGTACTGCCAGTCTTGTACTATGTGGTATCAAATGCTGATATAGCCCCTTTTGAACGAATCCAGCCTCAGTTCAAGTTTATATGAATCACAATCAACGATATGGATGGTGAGAAAAAGCTCCTTTCAAACACAAACTTTGGTCTTCAATATAATTTTGTTTCTCATCTCTAAATTTCCTTAAATTTCCCACGCCCTGTCCATCAACAAATAACAAAAACTCTTGAAAAAATTAGTCGATTAGACGGGTAAATCTAATATACACCAACGCTTTGTGCTTCCCATATCTCTATCCTCTACTAAAATAGTAACTTGTTTCGTCATGGTATCGTTTTGCCCTAGAGTTTTGGACATGTCTCTTTCAAAGGCAAACTGGTGGTATTGGAGGGTCGATCTTTTCATGTTTTTTTTGTCCTTGTCAAAAAGCCCCTTTCCCATCTTTCTGACCAATGCCCATCAGGCCACACATTCGTTCGTACCAAAGTCATAAAACTCCAGGGCTATGCAAGAAAATAAAAAGAAGAATGAACGTAACAGCACCTCATTCTCAAGCCAACATTTTTTTGTTCCAAAACAAAAGTAATCATTCGTAAAATCCGTCAAGTACGTGCTATGCAAGAATCCCTCTTTATCGATCAAAGCAATTTGGTAGGATCCAAACGCGGAAGAGAGAAACGAGGAAGAAAAAAAAAGGGTAAAAGAGAATAAATAAATCAATAGTAATAAACCGGCTTTTAATATCTGGATGAGGGAAAAGGATAAGAAGATCGGAGGGGCTTCAAAGGGTTACTTTCCCTCCGTTAAGACGAAATGGCGCAGGTCCTAGCTGAACATTAGGACTAAAAGCTGAGGACGGAGTCGGCACGCCATCTGATGACATGGACGAAATCGATGATAGCGAGTTAAACCCAGAATGACCCCTCGACATGGTCCCGTTACGAGACATGGAAATGCCGGGGTTAGCCATGAGGGTATCTGCGCGATCAAAGACGTTGCCCTGAAAAACAGCCGCAAAGGACCCTGTTTGTGGCGTGGCAACGGTAGCCTGCATGGCCGGGCCAAGAGCGGCGCTCTGGGGAGTGATTGGAACTTGCGGCGTGGTGGGCGATAGGATGCCTGGCCCAACGCCGGCGGGCCTCAAAATGTAGCTCCAGGGAGAGTTCATGATGATGATGCTCAACTCTTTCATGCTCTGATGGACAGGCCGCAATCGAGCTCTAGTGTCAGGCGGCAAGGGGATGGTATTGATCTCGGATTTGATCTTAGAGGCCATCTTTGTCCAGGCTGAGATGAAATTGCTGCAAAGGTTCCAGAATCCGGCGTGAGACCGCACTCCCGGATCCTTCAGCTTGATGAGAGACAGTCGATGCTTCAGAATCTCTGTCTGCTGGATAGCGTCATTGCACATTGCAATGAGATTCTTCCAGTCTCGTATCATGGCACTTGGGGCCCGCTGCTGTATTGCGTTTCGGATACCTCCCGTCAGCTGAACGTTGAAATTTGGTAGAATGTGCAGGACAGTATCAGTCGACTTTTGCAGGGCAAGGTATATTTTATCGAACTGCGTGTCTTCCTCAGAAAAATCGGTGGTGATATCGCGGCCAAACGACTGGAATGAGTCGTTGGATCTGGGCGTCGCTGATGCAAGCCTAGCAGTGCGAGTACCTCCGTTTTGGTATGGAACCGGTATGTCAGTGGCCACTCTGAGGTTGCTTGGGTTGTGTATGGCGGGTTCGCTACGATTTCGAAAAGCTGCTGGTCGTGGAGGCGGAGGGGCAGCAGTAGATGCCTCGCGGAAGTAAGGCTTGATCGTATTGCTGGTGTCGGGGACATCCATCGCAGAGAGATGATGCTTGTTGTGCTCAGTGGACACGGAGGAGAGTGTGACCCGAAGCTCCATTATACTGTTGTAAATCAACATCAGGAGCGTCCGAATATATCGAGCATCTCCATTATTGACAAAAGTATCAATGTTGTCGGCTAATAGAGTGCAAACATGGCCATACGCCCCGACAAGAGTCTGGCAGGCGCGGTGCACATTGGCATTGTCGCCGAATGTCTGCTCTTCCTCTTCTGCCATGGCCATATCATGCTTCTGAATTTCCTGCTCCAATTCCTCAACATGAGAATTAGTGTTGTAAAATACAATTTCAAGGCTTGAGCGTTTCGCAGATCCGTCATTGGTTAGTGTCATGAGCATCTGGATCATAGGATGGATTTGGAACACCGAGTAGAGAATGCCTTTGGCAGCTTCAATTACAGGGTCAAAGATTTTAGACTCTCGGCGGCGCTCGGGGAGGACTGAGAGTCTTCGAACGTAAACTGGCCGCTGAAGAGAGTCGGTGGGCGTTGCTGGGCTCTTGGATGGTACGGCTTGGCTGCCCTGCATGGCAGAGCCGTGGCTTAGCCCTCGGTAGTGGCTCAATCTGTTACTGCCTTCAACCTCATCGAGCGTGCCCAGGTCCGATGTGGCCTTCTTCGCGAGTATGCCCATGCGACGCTGGCGGCTACTTGATCTCTCCGAGTGCATCAGCGTCTCGGAGTTGCTGCGTCCGCGCTCGCTGACGTTTCCGATGGTTAAAGGCAGGACACCCGGACGACGGGTGGACGTATTCTGCTGCGAAAGACCCCGATAATGTGATCGTGACGGTATGGGAGGAGGTGGTCGTGATCCAATAGTAGGTGTCCGCATGTCCGACACATCGGAACTGCTCACCTTGATAGGGAATCGACCGCTTGGCACGCGTCGTAGGTGCGGTCGAGGAGTATTAGTGTCCTCGCTGGATTCGTCCCCAGTTGCCTCGGCATCACGACCGCTGATGATATGCAACTTCATGAATTTCTTGATATGTGCCGTAATCGTCACTTCCGTCACCTCGCCCTCTCTTCCAGAACCCTCGTTGGAGGGGCTTGAAGATGGTATTTGCAGCGCATCCCGTGGGGGAAAGCTGATAGGGTTCCCTTCAAATTTGAGGACTTGGAGCGACGCCATTTCCGCCAAGCAGACGGGCAGCTCCCGGATCTGGTTCTTCGGGATCGAGAGAACCTTGAGAGAGGTGAGCTTCGCAATGTCTGGCGGCAAAACTCGCAGCTGGTTACGGCCGAGATCGAGGATTTCGAGGGATTTGAGCTCGCAAAGCTAATTAATGGTTATGTTAGCTTGGGGCATACATTGGTGAGACAAAACAAAGGGAGACATGGGACGGCGTACAGGTAAGGGAAACTCTTTGATCTGGTTGCCTCTGATGTTGAGATATCGAAGCGACACGCACTCGGCAAAGCGGGCTGGCAAAGAGGAAAGCTGGTTGTGTGATAGGGCGAGTCTGTATCGTAACACCTAACAGTCAGCAAACAAGACTTTTTTTGCCCTACCGGGCCATTTATTTCATTTCCTTCTTTCCCTCTCTACTCTCTTTTCTTTTTGTTGGTTTGCTTACCGTTCCAGCTCGTTCTTGACTATATCAACCACCTCTTCAGGAAGTTTCTGAATGCCCTTGCGGCTCAAGTCGATCGTCACACCCGACTTGAGGCCGGGGCCAACATCGACGGCCTGACTCTCGTTCTCGAGGGCGTGTCTCATTGCCTCGCGGGTCAGGCCGATGACCTGAGCCGCCGTCAAGATGGGCGTCGCGGGCGAGTTTCCATTGGGAGACGGGCCATTTCGACCATTGGGCAGTGGCGGAAGCGGCATCGTGGGCGGCGGCTGCTGGCCGTTTGGAGGAGCAGCAGTCGTGGTGAGAAGAGGACGACGAGCCTGAGACGGGTTGATATTATCGGGAGTGCCTGCGCCGGTGCCCCTGAGAGCCGGAGGTGCAGTGGCGGGGGGTCCAGGAGCAGCTCCAGGACCGTTGCCCATGCCATTCGCAGGCATTCGGTCGGGTCGCTCCATGGCGACTTGGCCGGGCGAGAGCTGCACGTTCAGCCCTTGTCTTGTTGTTTTCTTTCTTTCTACTTGTTTTTCTCGCACGTATACTCGTACGCACACGTGCACAAAGCACCGCGAAGAGGCGCCGTTGGGAGCTCAAAGGCCGTGGCGCTTGGCTGTGTAAAATGTTTCAGAGCACCCCTCTCTTTTCTCGTGCCCTCGCGCGCCAGAAATCCGGGGGATTGTGCGTTTAAGCAGATCGGGGCTGCGAAGAATGGTCAAGCGAAACACGTGAGATCATCATGATCAAGCCTGGCTAGGCGCCTTAAACAGAAGAAGAGAGCGCGCGCGGATTCGCCCTGGAGAAGGGAACAGCGGAAGAGGTCGAAGAAGCCGGTCGTAGGACGTGCTTTGGCTGGTCGGGACGGACGTGAGGCTCGCACTAACTTGGCGGATGGACTTTGGCTTGGGGTCCTGTTCAAGGTTCCGTTTAGAGCCCCTGAAACACTAGCGGGATGGGCGGCGGTGGTTGGCGAGGACAGTGCGAGGGCCGCCGCGAGGGCGTAGCCACAGCGCCTTCAGAAGGGCCCTGATAGGGGACTTTTGGGTCTGTCAGCGTTCTTTAGGAAGTGATGGGCAGCATGTGAGCTCGAGCCCAGTCGTGATGCTCTGTGATGGTCGCTGGTTCGCCGTTTTATTTCTAGCCTTCCGGGATTGTCCACGGAGCACATGCCGCGGTAGGTGGATGTGGTTCGATGCCAGCACTGTAGGACGCACTCGGCGCTCGTATCTCGCGAGACTGTGCGCGGAGCCCTCCCCAGCACGCTCCCGGGCTTGCATAAAATAAACATTGACTCGCATGCCTGTTAGCACGAGCGCGGGAAGCAGTGCGGGCGTGATCTGGAGTAGCAGATACTCCTCCATTTCACTGTCAAGATCGATAACGCTTCAGTAGCGTGTACATTGTCGTCGACTGGCCCCTTTTCCTACCTATCTCCGGGTACCATGGGAGCCGGTCAACGGAGACTACATGTAGCATTGTTAATAGGAATACTACTACAGGCCAATACTATGCGCTATCCAACTACTGCTACTGCCGGTAGCACCGTGGGAATTGCTACATGTGTACATGAGGTGTTGTTTTCATAGGTAAGGTATGCGGGTACTCTAGCCAGGCTGCGTTTCTATCCATGGTGAGGCAAAGCTTCTCAAGTTTAACCGTCCAGCTGTATGCACTATCGATGAGAGAGCCAGATAGCCATCTGCATCTGGGCGGCTACAAAAGCATTACTCCGCAAATTGCCCTATTTTCCACGTATCGCATTGATGCTTCCCGTTTGCTTCGTTGCGGCCGCTGGCCCTTGGTCGTCGACTCAGGAATGAGTTCCGCTGTCCGTACTTTGTACCGCCGGGGCAAAAATAAGAAGAAAAAAGCAGCGACAAAAGAGGAGACGCTAACAGGCCGCTATGCTTGTGGGGAACTGCGCTAAACGGGATTCCGAGCTGAACGTCGCCAACGTTGTGCTTCGTTCAGGCACCATCCGTGGAGGCTGCAGCTTACACAAAGCATATCCTCACCTGAATGGTGCGACCCAGTGAGAGGCATCAATTCGGATGAAGCAATAGTGAGAGCACATTGGAACTTTTACCCTAAACCACACAGACTGGTAGCACAAGTACCAAGTCATGTCTAGCACCGGGATCCCGGATGCACGTGCCTGGACTACTTGGTACTTCTATTAATATCCGTTCAGCACGTCTTAGTCTTGTACTGTACTCCATGTTCCGTACCCCCGTGTTAGCTGGCCTGCGCGTTCTAGAAGAGCGTCAAAATACTTCTAACGCGAGCGACTAGCAAGCGTCGCCCTGTGAACATCAGCCAAACCCGCTGATCCACACATGCATCATAATCTTGATGCCGCATAGCCACTCGCCCACGGACTCGCCCATCTCGCCGCCAATGTCAGCTTCTGCTCACCACTGCTGTTGCGAAGCCTAGATCCTCTCTGCCATGCCCCCCCTGCAGAGGGCAAATTCATGCACGGACATCGGGTTCACTCTCCGGCGGCAGTTCCACAAGGACGACTTCAGGTAAGCCTTTGGTGGACTTGTATAAGTGAACCGAGCTGAACTCAGCTGACACTTCTTACAAGGCCCCATCAGCGCGAAATCATCGAGGCAGCACTCAGCGGCCACGATGTCTATGTTCAAGCAGCAACGTCCTTTGGCAAGAGTCTGTGCTTCCAGCTCCCCGCCGTGATCGACCAAGGCAGTGAGTTGGACCAGATGCGTCTCATATTTGCGATAGCAGAGAATGAGGCGAAACTAACGGTGGACCTTGAATAGTTACGATTGTTGTTTCCCCTCTATTAAGTTTGATGGTAGGTTTGGCTAGCACGCTGTCCCATTCGTAGTGATGAGTGCTCTTGATGTCTTGCAGACGCTAAAAATGCTGCTTATAGATTAACCAAGTAGAGGCCCTGAGAGCTGAAGGTATCGACGCCAGCTCTCTGAACAGCAACACGCCGCGCGAGGAGAGAGATCGCATACAGCGTGATCTGGAAACCGGTCACCCGAAAACCAGGCTTCTCTATGTGACTCCAGAGCTCTGTTCTGGCTCGCGCTTCCGTACCACCTTACAGCTTGTCTATAGGCAGAAAGAGCTTGCTCGCATTGCAATTGATGAAGCTCACTGCATATCAGAATGGGGCCATGATTTCCGAAAAGATTTCAAGCGGCTGTCCTGGTTTCGGGAGACATTTCCTGATGTACCCATCATGTGCCTTACAGCGACAGCAAACGCCCGAGTGCGTCAGGATATTCTCAAGGTTCTGCGTCTCGATGCTACACCAGAGAAGGTAAAGACGTTTCTGATGAGTCCAGAGCGAGGCAATCTCCATTTAGAAATAAGATATACAAAGGACGAAGACGACAACCGTCTCTCAGACTTCCTGACATGGATACAAGGGGTATATGATCGTAGACGCGCTGAACCGCGGCAGAGTGAGCTTGCCAAAATGCGTGAAAGGACCAAAAACGTTTCGGGCATCATATATACAACATCTCGTGGCGAGTGCGAGTCCCTCGCAGCCAGTCTCCGAGACGCCGGAATTGGGGCTCGGCCTTTTCATGCTAAATTGCCCAGCGAGGTTAAAGAAGACACTTTGGCCAACTGGATCAACAATGAGCGAGGCTACGATATCATTGTGGCCACAACGGCATTTGGCATGGGCATCGACAAAGATAATGTGCGCTTCGTTGTGCACTGGCGGCTTCCCAAGTCTTTTGAGGGGTATTATCAGGAAGTCGGACGAGCAGGGCGTGATGGCAATGCCGGCTATTGTTTCCTATACTACAGCCGGGAGGATCTCGAACGAGCCAGTCGGATGATAAAGAGCGACGCTCAGGTCGATGCAAATTACCAGGCGCGGTTAAGGAGCCTCCAGGCGTTGGCACAATACTGCGAAAACATATCCGCATGCCGACATGCCTCTATATGCAAATATTTTGGGGAGGAAACGATTCCAGAGTGCGACTTTGCATGTGATTTCCATAAGGATTCTGACGACCTTGAAGAGAGATTTTTGAGGGGACTGGCCAGTGAAGAATGGGTGAGCACGCAGGCGATGCAAGGTACATACGATAATTACGGTGATCTGTGAGCTGGAGAATTATTACAAGGTTGGAAAACATTAGAATATAGATTGGTGATTAAAAATAGTGATAAAGTGGGCTATATAGGCGGCAGTTGCATAGAATTTAGCTATAACCGTATAACCTCTAATGCCGATTTGCGCCATGTTTTGCTGAAGGAGCGTACGCAAGGCATCAGTTCTTCTTGGCCTCCTTCTCGGCCTTCTTCTCAGCAACCAGCCTATCAAATCTCTTCCACGACGTCAAGCCCTCGCAGAAAATCGCACCCTCCCACAGCCACCACACCCGGGACCACCTCGCCACGCCGTGCTTCTGCAGCCTCCATCGGTCAAGCAGGAACGCCTCTGCTAGGTGAATCCCAATAACGGGCCAGAAAATTGCATTGACAGTCCACCGGAACCACTCAGGCCCTCCTGGAAACACCAGCTTGAGAACCTCCCATGGGGCGCTTCCCGGCTCAAGCCACGGCAAGCCAATAGCGCAGAAGTAGTAGAAAATCACGCCGATGAAGGGGACATAGTCGAGTCCTTGCTGCATGGCATACTCTGTGATGTAAATGTTGCTGAGGCCGAGGGCCTCGCGGGCGGTCTCGTCCATGGCGATGATGCGGGGGCGCGCCTCGGCCCAGGACGCCAAGGGAGGGGAGAAGGGGACGTTGTAGGTGCCGTTGGTGGTCTTGATGGTCATGCCTTGGAAGTCGAGGTCCTGAATTGCGGGAGAGGCCGCAGCAGCGCGAGGGGAGAGGCCATTGTAGTGGCGGAGATAGTGGGAGAGTTCGCGAGTGTGCTGAGCGTTCATGTGAGAGATGATGCGGGCTTTCACCTCTGCTTCGGAGGGGGGGCCGCGATTGGTAGCCATGGTGATTTTTTAATGTCTGTAGGGTTATATTCTTGAAATGTTTTGAGGAAAGATTGACCTTTTTGAGTGGAGGACTGCGAAATTGACTGAGCTATAGGCCTTATATATTTTTTTTCTAGTTAGTGTTGGTGCAAGGGGTGAGTGAGATATTGAGATAGGGTGATGAGGTTGAAAGTGGAGTCTGTGGCTAGCCGTAAAATGCCCGAGTGCCTTGATCAACGTCAGGTATCGCCGAGTATCACAGATAAATCATACGATGACAACCGTGGAACTATTGAAGCGCTGAAGATGACATAAACTTTGCGAAAGTAATTGCATCTTTGCTTTTCACTTTTTAAATATCGGCGTTTTACGGACCTAGCAGCGATTCAGGCGAGCTTTCTCAAAGGCAAACTAGGCCGTCTATGACATGGGTATAGCTAGAAAGAACTGGGTAAAAGAATAATATTGAGTTGATTAAAATTGTAATGCTATACTCATATTGATGACAAATATAGAGAGATAATGCACAATTGCTTCGTTAATGGTTCTATTATGAAGATGTATGGATTGAATTCTACCGGGTGTATGTAGAGATGTAACATCGGCAAGGCAAATCTGTCGCGACATTTATTGCTGTAATAGGTGACCATGTTAATGGCCAATATTCCTCATTAACCGAACAACAGAGTCTTTGGTTATTTAGAAAAAATTGCCCAATAGGTTTTTGGTAGCCTGAATTGGACAGTTACTGTGCATGCCCAGGGAGCTGGGTACCTATCAGAGGAAGGACTATCTGGCTACATATCTATGATCAAGTACAACTCATGAAGACGTAATATAATTTTATCTCTTTGTTTACTTGTTTACTTGTTTACTTGTTTACGCATTTATATATTTAATGCGACAAAGGCCGGCTGAGGTTAAACTCTAGCGGAGGAGTCTATACAACGACCGAAGGCTTTCTTCTCCTACAGAAACACATGTTAAAGGCTACTATGGTTTCGTGCAATGTTAGAATACTACGTGTATTATACCCTTACACGAACAAAATATATTGAGCTTAATCTGCAAATATTCCCAATCCATCAACATGGAGACCATCCAACACTGTCAGCAAGTCCACAGGGATAGAACTAATTTCCTGGACCTAATGTACTATTGCGAACGATATCTACTTCAGGCTTGTAAATCTTACCTCTGGATCGCAAGCCAAACTTAAAGTTCAACGGAGGAGCCCGATACACAAGTACCAATGCGGCCGTTCCCAGCACAGTCCCCGTTATCCAGCATACATTGCAATCCTCCGCAACAACTGCTTGGCTCACCACAGCCACGACCAACGCAGTGGTAGCCCTAGATTCCCAAACCTGTTAGCATGCTACTTCGAATTATATCTGCTCTAGGTTTGTAAATCTTACCTCCCGATCACAAAAGTTCTTTTCATCAAGTTCAAAGGAGCCCCGTACACAAGTACCAATGCGGCCGTTACCAGCACAGCTCCCGTCGTCAAGCATGCATCGCATTCCTCCGCAACAGCTGCTTGGCTCACCACAACCACGGCCAACGCAGTGGTAGCCCTAGGTTTCCAAACCTATTAGCATACTAATACCAATAATATCTGCTCTAGGTTTATAAAGTCTTACCTCCCGATCGCAAGCAAAAGCCGCAGTGGCCAGAATAGCTAAGAAGGTGAGATTGAACTTCATGGTTGCTTAATATGAAAGAATTTGGATGCAAAAGGATATAAAAAAAAATATTGCTGAAAGGGGCGACATTAGCCTTCTTATAGATGATTTCGGTGTTGGCGGCTTATGAGTATTTTTTCCCAGACTCTCTGCCCTGCGTTACTTAGCTAGATCATCCGACCCTATGTCTTACAGTAATGGCGGTCTGTTCAACGCCAATGAGCCGTACGATTTCCATCCATTACTCTGTTAAGAAGGGCGAGCAGGAATTGCATCGTGGATCTTCATGAATCCATCTAAAGATGCTCTGCACTGTTGGGATAGCCAAAGCATTCGCTAAATCTAATAGGCAATCATCTACATTCCAAAAACAAGGCCTAGTTTCGAAAACCCCCAAGTTTGCAGTATTCTTTACAAAAGTCCTGTTTTAGCTCAAGGTGACGTAGGGGCGATTCTCCCTTGGCTTACTATGACAGCTTCAAATATGGGTAAGACATAGAGCTACGGCGATAGCCCGAGCGACAAGCCGAGATGATCTACAAATAGACAGCAAGCGACTTTTAGAGCCAAGGTGATGGGTATAACATATAGATGGCATATTTTCAGAATCTAATACTCAAGGAAAATGCCAACTTTTCGCTGTTGCTTGCAATTCATGCTTTACGCAGATCTCAGACTGGAGTATCAATACTGCTCGCGCAGCAGGAAGCTCTATGAGAGTCCATGTAAGTGTAGCAATGGTGAACATGGTGTCGTCTATCAGTGTCACTGCCACAATCATCGACTTTAAGATGCCAAGTCGAGTCGTCGTTCGAATACGTGTAATTGTCTTCGCTTACTGTACCTTCCTCCGCGTCTGAACCAGCCACGGCGAGAGGCGGTATGACTGACTCCACTCATTCAAAGACATGGAAGATGGATCTGCGATCTGAAGTGAGAGGAGGTAATATTAAGTCTGCGCTACTACCTATTAGTGTTTAAATAATTATGCAAGGACAGTTCACTTCTCTTAGCACCTTAGTTTCTATTTCACTTGTAGCAAACAAATAAAAGGTACCGTCAAGCAACTCCCACCTATAGGGCATAGCTTATGGTCCTAAGCAGCAACCTATGGCGGCCATGGATTCCATTCATGATTGAGCGGGCAGACAGCAAATCCTGTTACAGACCTTCAAGACGTTCATACTAGCCAAATTAGAATTATAAGACGAGTCGGGGATAGGCACTCTTGTATCTGCAACCCGCGCTATCGTTGCGGGCTCTAGTGATGTCTACCATGATCAACTCATCTATGCATGATCTTGAAAAGTAGAATGTAGTCATAGTCGTCATTTATCTTGCATCCAGGCGATCCAATTGTCTAAAGACGCTACTAAATAGCTTTGATGTTACAATAGGAGACGATTAATTCTGGAGCTTGTATTGAATATAGATCATTTCGTGTTACCTCTATAGGCCGCAATCTTAACCGTCGCCTTATTATCGCCCAAGCTTAATTAGACAAATTGGCTAGCCAGACAAAACGCAGCACGAAAGAATACGGCACTCCAAGCACCGCTAGCTGATGATGTCAAATAAATCCGGAGACTTTTTTGGTAAAGCAAATGTAGCATAAATAATACAAACTGTTGGAATAAAAAACGGGCCCCGCTCTTACCGAACGACGTTATTATCCTTATATGGGATTTCGATTCCGACACAAACACTACGGCGGGCAGAAAGGCTAATTTCGCTACATCCATTTCATCTTCAACTGTAAACACAGTCGAAGGATTTGCCAAAGAGTTACGTTAATGGCATCTCAACGTCATTTTACATAATTTATCCTTATTTCGGTCACTCCTTAGGCAGCAGTCTTCACGTGCGAGCGCGCCATTTTCGCGACCGGATAGCTATCGGAACTTGATGGTTGCCGTTGGGCGCATCATGATCCCAGACACACAAGCTTTGAACTCTCGGCTTCGGCTTCGGACCCGCAATGCCACCGGGGACCCGTCCGTGAGTCACCAAGAATCTAAGCCGAAGGCTGCTCCTAGTGGAGATAGGAGACATGAATGGCGGAATTAAAAACCGGACCATGATAGCTGAAATCGCGGAGATTTTATGATCGCTAAGCGGACCTTCAGAGGGCCGAAGAGGCAAGAATAGCGCCATATGTAGTATGTGCTCTCATGGCCATATATATATGATGTGACTCTTGCTGAGGGCATGTATATATCAATCCGAAACCAGTAAGAAGAGTATCCAGTAAGAAGAGTATTAATATTCAATATATAGGCTGATTCATATTAAAACCGGTCCAATGTCTTCTGTCAAGCTCAGCTCATTGCCAGCAGCAGAAGCCGAGGAGTGCTAGTTTCTTATTAGTCTGTCGTCCACCAACAATGCGAGCGGTCCGATTCCACGCTTGGCCAGTTTGGAAAGTCTGAGCGAGCTACACAAATGAACTGGAGAAGACCTTTTTGCAAGCTTATATAGATAGCCTTGAATGCCAAGATATAATTACCATCGAAAAGTCGTTTTCACTAATGGCGCTAAATGTCTGGATCCAAGAGTGACAGACAAAAGAACCGGCACCGGCGCAGGATTCTTTTCTTCCCATCGGCATAGTTTCGTCACATTTAACGAAATACGACGAGACGTAATCGGGTAAAGCAACCGGCGGGATTGAAACCGGCCTATGTCTATATATTGCGAGGGAAGCAGCTGGCGTAGGACTGAAATATTCATTTGCTCTTCGCGAGCTCCTCGGAGGTCCGAGGACCGCTGAATGACTAAGAAGTACAATACCTGCTTCTTTGAGAATAGCGCATCGGACCTCGGCTCGGACTTGCTCCGCAAAAGGCGCCTGTGACGCAGCGCTCAGCGCAATTTTTTTTTATCAGATCAGATTGATAAAAATCGCAACGGCAAAACACTTTTGACCCCAGGACCCCTCCTCTCGCCCTGCGCTGAATTCCCCTTACATTAATTTTTTCTGGAGGCGTCGTAACTCCGACACATCTTGGCCATGGCTGATCGCAGCGAGAGCCCGGACTCCGACGGGGGTTCGGTATCAAGACACGGTTCTGACCAACCACCGGCTCGCAAGAGACAACGCGTGCGACTGAGCTGTCTGGAGTGCCGCCGCCGCAAGCTTTCGTGCGATCGTGGCTTTCCCTGCGAGCGCTGCATCAAGAGTGGCACCCCTGATCGCTGCAGCTACGAATCACGCAACGGAGAAGTGGTTAATGCATCGTCCGGCATCCCTCCCTCCTTTGCGCAGCTGGACTCGCGGCGCTTCGGCATTGGTGATGCCGTTTCGGGCTTCTCACCCCGAGACTCTGAGCTTGCCCGCCAGGACCACGACCGCATCCGCAGGCTGGAGCTGGAGATCACGCAGCTTAAGAACCTCCTTACACGACCTGGTGCAGCGTCTCTAGATGGGAGCACCATAGTGGGCACTAACTCACCGTCGACGCAGAAGGATGAGGCACCTAACGATGGCGAGGCTCGACCTCGAGCGGAAGAGCAGGAGATCATCGAGAAGAGTGGCATGGCTGGTGAGAATGGCGAATTGCGTTTCTTCCGAGGCAAGGGGTTCCGAACCCGTTATTTCGGCCCCCATAACGCCAGCATGGCGTTTGTCGAGCTGACGGGGCTGTGTCCCTTTATGCGGGAGACGGCGGATGAGTGGCTTCGTCCAGTGATACTCCATGATCGCAAAGACCGCAAGCGTCGCCAAGAGGAGCGAGATGCCATTTTTGAGCAACAGGACTTGGAGCTAGAAGCTCTTCTCCCCTCGAAGGAAGAGGCGGATGCCCTCATAACAGTCTATCTGGATCAGTTTGAGCAAATCCACCGCATTGTACATGTGCCCACTTTCCGAAAGGAGTATGCCGAGTTTTGGAAACCCGGGACCAAGCAGAGATATTCGGCATTCACCGCATTGGTCTTGTCAATGATGGCTGTAGCTAGCTGTGTGCATACCCATGAAGCTCTCAAATTCATTGGCATGATGTCGAATGCACAACATTTAGCTGAGAAGTGGATCAAAGCGTGTGATAAGTGGTCTGACAAGCAAAGCCAGAAGCACCGACGGCTTATTCATTATCAGATAGCTTGCTTGCTCTATCTTGGCAAGCGTGTCAACACCATCAAGAAGAAGCGATTCTGGACAAGCTCGGGACAGCTGATCCGCGATGGCATTGCCGTTGGTCTGCACCGTGAGCCGAGCCATATGGGCGGCAAGATTACAGTGTATAACCAGGAGATGCGACGGAGGATATGGGCGACGGTTCAGGAGTTTGATATGCAAGCCTCATTTGATCATGGCCTGCCGACTCTGGTGAGCCAGCTCCATTTCGACACTAATCCCCCGCGGAATCTAGACGATGAAGACTTTGATGAGAACACGACGGCATTGCCCCCTTCCAAGCCAGCCAAGGATTATACGTTTTCGTCGTTCCAAAATTTGGCACGACAAAGCTTGCCTCTGCGTCTTGAGCTCAGTCGACTTCTTACCGGGCCTCTGTCTGAGATAGACTACGACCAGGTCATTCGCTATACAAACGACTTGACCCATGAGATCGATGCCCTCCCTTCTTGGGATATGAATCTTGAGAATAACAACGGCACCAAAAAGAACCCGCTCATTGCATATACTCTGCTACACGTCCAGCTGAGGCAGTACATTATCCCTCTACATCAACCCTACCTCAAGCTGCGCAAGCAAAACTCAAAGTACCAGTATTCCGAAATAATCTACTATAACGCCGCGAGAGACATCGTTCTCCTCCACGACAAGTTATACGAGCAGGGTGTCCGAGCGCTCAACTTCTTGCGAGAGGATGCTCTCACCACATGCATCAATCTCTGCAGCGTCACGATGCTGCAGCCCCGGGGCTCGACCAACATGATCATGATCAACTCGCACCACACCGTGAAGCTCATCGAGAAGTGCATTGCCATGAAGGAGGACCGCCTGCTGCGTTGTGGAAATAACGAGCCGTGGGGGTACTCAATCATGTGTGCTGCCTTGGGTCTTCTCGAGGCGCATCTGGGGACGAAGACGACCGAGGTGGCGAAATCCACCTCGGCGGAGAGATTTGTAAATCTCCATTATAAGCTTCTCGCGAATCAGGAGCCTCCTGTACCGTCGTCATCGGCTGCGGTGCCGGGGTCTTCTCTTCATCCTATGATCGGACCACTTGCTGAGCCGGGCATTCGACCTTTGTCTGCTGAGAATCTACCTGACGGACCTAAAGTGAGTGATAGCTAATCCTCGACTTATTTTTTTTTCTTTTCCCTCTTGTGATATCTTACTAACCATTTATTCTTTTAGTCCGTGACACCTTTTACTTTCCAAGCGCCGCTACCACCAGTTTCAGTGGACCAGCCTTGGGCTGTAAACGATCAAACGCAACCCTTTAATCTCGACCCAAGCCTGGAGCTACTGGGTCTTAACTTGAACGAGCTCTGGGGAGAGTCATGGGAGCTGGGGATGTAAATTGGAAAAAAAAAAGGGTGGCTGCTTTCTGCACATGAGTGGGTAGATCCGCTTCACTCCTCTCCTCTTATCTATGCCGACCCAAACGGCTTTGTAATTTGTTGGCGATTGTGTGTTTATACTCGTATGGTTGGCGTTTATGGTGTATATTATAGAGATACCATGTAAGCATTACGATTTTTACGGCGTTTTTGCGCAGTGCTTGCAGCGTATCATGGCGTTGTTAGGAAGTTATGGGAGGTAGCGAGATGGAAAATGTATTGGCTTTTGCTTTGAATTAACTAATTTTCACGGCTCGGGCTCCTTCTAATGTGTTTTTTTAAGTAATACTTGTTGTTTTGTTATATTGCAATGTATACTAAGATTAGAAATATACGTTCATCTGCGGGCAATATGTAGCTTGGACGGCTAAACTCTGAAGGATGAGGCGCTTATACAAAGGTAGGCAGACATACTGAATATATGACTCACGCGCAACACAAGCCACTCACGAGTAAAGCCAACAGCAAGCAAAGCTACTTAATACCGCTTATATTACAATTAATATCAATAGGAAAGAACCATCAGCAACATAGCTCAGCGGAAGAGCGACGGGCTCATAACCCGTAGGACCCTGGATCGAGACCAGGTGTTGCTATGCACCTTGCTTTTTTTTCACCCGGTCGCCAAAAATAGAAGTCCTTTTCATCCTTTCTCTCCTTTTCCTTATAATATAAATATTGCAACTCCTACAAAAAGACAATATGTCGTTCACTTTCACTGTAAGCTGTAAACAGTTGTTGTTGTTGTTGCTGGTACTCTTGCCTGGTCATGCCGGCTGTCAGCTTTATACCATGCAATGTATCATGCATGTAAGCGGCGGTCTTATGGAGTTCAGAAACTTCTAGGTAAAAAGCGTTACATTCTCTATATAGTTTGCGGCTGCTATTTTACTTTTAGCTTTGCTTCGCCCAATGGCAATGGATGTAACGATAATTATGAGTTGAATACCTAAGTTGGAAGCTCATCAACATGATGGCTTAGCGCCAGACAGATTCGAAATATTGAAAAAAGATACACCGAAAATGTACATGCCTGGCTCGTATCTGGCATTTGCATGCCAGTGAGGGGTGGAGAGCTTTCTTGGCTTTTGGGGACCTGCAGCAGCGGGGAGCCCGGCGCTGATTGGCGCTGCCTGGACGGGCGCTTCAGAAGGCCCACCCCAGCGGCTTGGGTGCTGGGAAGTCCGCCAGCTGGAACAACCAAAGACTCAACACCATGACGTTGCTGCTTCAATAACGGCTTTGCGGTCTCGCCCTCCAGTTGTCGCCTCCCTCCCAATTCTTCAGCCCCTTCGGATTCCGGCCTGAGCTGCGCGCCCCCTCCACAGGCAAGGCTAGCCACCAAGCAGCGCCGGAGATGTCGGCTCTGCCTTGTCCTGGCCGCTGCCTCGCACTCGCCTCGCGCTGAGAGGGACCAACAATCTCGTCACCATGCCCGACGGCTTCAGCAACATCCGCGTCTTCGTCCACTGGCGCGACCAGACCGTCTTCGCGGGCGAGGCGGTCCAATGCACCGTCACCTTCCGAAACATCGCCCCCGAGGCGAACCAATCGCCGGCACAGGCAAACGGCCAGCAGCAGTCGCCGTCCGAGAGACAGAGGCTCGCCTCGCCGCTGCAACCTCGCGGCAAGGCGGCTGCCGCGTCGGCTCGAGGGCATAGGCGAGCGGCTCTGTCGTTGAGCGTGCCGTCGCCCAGCTCGAGGAGTCGGCAGGGCTCGATTCAATGGCCTCAGCCCGTCATTCCCGGCGAGGGCCGGCCTGGTCATGCCCACAAGCGATCCGTGTCTATAGTGTCCATCGGATCAACCACCAGCACCATTGAGGAGCATACACATTCGCCGCGAGTAGACCATTCTCCACGAACGCCACGGCACTCTCATAATCGCGCAAGCAGTCTGCAAATTTCATCGCGGGGACCGCCTACAGTTCCCTCGACCCCCCAATCAGGTATATGAACCCGCTCGTATAACATATCGAAGAGAGAATCAATTGGCTAACTGGCGCTTCAAGGCTCCTTCTCTCAAAGAGGAATATCCTCTCCCCTCTTTAATGCTTCATATCCCCCCGACAGATTTGGCCGACTTCCTACTGGTTCAAAGAGTCCCCAATCGTCAAATGTATCTGTGCAGCGCAGGTCATCCAAGGCCTTGTCGAACCCCATGCCCATGCCTGAATTTCGATTCCCCGCTGCACCCCCACCAGAATCAGAAACGGCCCCGAATCCGCGAAAGGCATCAGGAAATGGTCTTTTAAGTCCAAGAACGGGACCGGTTGACGGCCCTATCCCTGTGCGTCCAAAAGAACAGTCCCCCGTGACAGATAAACCTCTCCTTCCCACGGCTCGCATACTCTCCAGCACAAGCATGGGCGGAGGAACACCCCGAAGCAGTGGTGAATTCTACTCTATAAGCAACAATTCATCCGAGACCCTGGCATCAGAATACGTAGGACAGCCTCTGCTCCGAGGTCCTGGGAGACCATCGAATCCACGCCGAGGGTCCTCTTTCTCTATCCCCCAATCGAAGACCGAGTCGTTGATGATGGGTTTTGCTCAAATACAAGGCTCTTTCTCTCTGGACGGTTCTCTAATTAGCCTTGCACCGTTTGAACAGGTCAAGAAAAAGGCTGTTGTTGGCGGTAGAGGTGGCGGGGTGGTCGGACTAGAATCTGGTCGACGGGAGAATGGCCTTTTGCGGGGATTTGGCTGGGGCAGCATTAGCAATTCTCTCGGCGACTTCCTTGGAGGCGGAGAGCTAAGCACCATCAAAGAGATGCGTGGTGTCGCAAACTCCAAGGCCGTTCCATTGCTGAGCACTCCGCAGTCGATTCTCTTCGTCGACCTACAATTGGCCCCTGGGGAGAGCCGCTCGTTCGAGTACACATTCAAACTCCCCAGAGGGCTACCTCCTACACATAAAGGAAAAGCTATTAAAATTTCATACAGTCTAGTTATCGGCACTCAAAGACCAGGGGGTGCTAGAGAACAACATGTTCGGACTGTCGAGGTCCCGTTTCGTGTCCTGGGAAGCGTTAATAATTACGGCGAGATTCTTGGACACGACCTCATGAACCCATACATCCTACTACGGGATGAAGCTCTAGTCAAAATGGTTGGGAAGCAGCAGAAAGTTCATAGACCACGAGAACAATCCAGGCCGACTGCCGCCATGAGCGACTTTTTATCATATGTAGACGACCTGCTTGACCGACCAGCAGATAAGGCAGGAGCGACGTTATTGTCCCCGACGGCCACACCAGATCTAAGGCGGATATCAACATCCAGCTTCGATGATGCCACCCCAGCCAAGGAGGCAATCCGCCTTGCCATCATGAAAAGCAATTTGACAAATGGACAACAGAGCGCTAATCGGTTTGAGATTGCGCGAAACGGGCAAAGGGTCGGCGTGGTTATGCTTACCCGGCCTGCTTACCGTTTGGGAGAGGTCGTAACGATGATTATCGATTTTGCGGATGCTGATATACCTTGCTACGCAGTTCATGCAACCTTAGAAACATCAGAAAAGATAGATTCGTCGCTGGCTGTACGATCCGAATCGAGCGTTCACAGGGTTACAAGGAAAGTGCACGTTGCCACTTCAGAATCTACGCTATTCACTCGACGGATTGTATTCACCCCTACGATACCCATCTCTGCTACTCCCGAATTCGTCACCAGCGGGATCAGCTTCGAATGGAAGATCCGGGTGGAGTTTGTTGTGCCATCACAAGGACACGATGCCCTGAGAGGACAGCAAACGCCATTTCCTTTACTCGAGCAGATTTCGAGAGACGACAAGGGAGGCCTGGTTCTCGTGGCCGTTGAGAACCTGGCGTGCGAGAGCTTTGACGTGCCGGTGCCTCTACGAGTGTACGGGGCTGTTGGGACTGGACTGGAGCGCCTGGAACGAGATGAGGCGTCTGAGGAAGGGCTTGTGGTGTGAAAGAGGGGGGAGATTGTGTGGTAAATAGTAGTTGATGAGTCTGTTTTTGAACGTGGGCCTCTTGAAATGTAAAATATTGATATGATTGGAATACACCGAGACTTGTGTGCCGTATGAGCTGCTTGATTGTGAAATACTGGACCTTGTGATATACCCGCTGGCAGAAACTAGAGTTCAAATTCCAATGCAATACTTTCTTTTAAGCAGGGCTAGGAGTCTGCCGTCTATCAGCAGGTAAATTACTACTACTTGTACAGCAGCATGGCCGGGCTTAGGAACCCCAGGCTTGGGGTTTTCTTTTTGACGTCAGTCAACCTTGAGAGAAAAAAATATACTGCAGAAATCAATTAGCCCAAGCGGGGAATAGCATGTTATCTCGAATAGATGTACGCAGCATAGAGATCTGTGGTGCATATACCCACGTGCGCTCCCAGACAAGAAAGAAATTAATATTCGTATAGTCGAGAGGCGTGATGAGATTTGGTGGGTATGGGCGATCTAAGAATACATGTACCTAATAAAGGGGGACAGGGGGACAAGTATTTCGTACCTGCGTATCCCTGTACTGGCTTTAACACTGGAAAGCTGCAACATAATAAACGTGTAATCTGATAAGTATTATATGAAGACACATGTACAGCGTAAGTATTTGTGCCGCAAAGACGAGGTGAAAGACCAATGCCAACCGCTGGTTCTGATACGAGTGGGCTATGGGATCTTGTGGCTGTGAGATTGGCTGCGCAGATATAGATATCGACAGATACGAACAATCTCTCTCGTTAAACATACTCGGTAGCATTCTGCAGCATACTGCAGATATAGAAAGCACCCGCACTACTAGCGGAAGCAAGGATTTGTCGTCATTTTACCGCTCTGCCTCCTCTCCTGGGGACCCAGGCCTGTTTCTCATCTGGTCTCTGTTCTTGATCCGGCAAACCCCTGGCCCTGTCTGAGATCCATTGCGGCTGCATGTAATTGTAAATGGATAGCTGGGGGAGGCAGCACAAACGACATTGGCTGTGGACAAGAGTGGGAACTGGACGAGGTGATGATGGCATCCAGCGAGATTAGCCCATCATGTACGTACAATATGTAGCCGTGTGACGGTAGTTGATGTCTCAAGTGATGTTGCCATCACAGCCTCTGCTATGCACATGTAATTGCAATCACACTGGTCCAAGGCTAGATCCGTAATAGTCGGTAGTGCCACCGTCTCTTTTGATTGCACTTATACACCATCCGGAGCTAGCCCATTGCCTTCATTTAACATTCCATCGCCATGCCTTTGGCATCGACATTGCCATCTTCCTGCTCACCACTGGCCCTTGCCCAAAGAGGGAACAAAACAAAGCCTAGCGGCTCGCCCATCTCCTTTTTCGGTGTCCCAGCAACAAGGGTGTGGCCTGGCCCTCGTTGGTCGCCATTTTGATGTCTCTGGCGACGGCCTGCAATAGGGCAGCCTCTTGGCCAGCAGCTCCACCCTGCGGCCCTTGGCGAATTTGCTCCAGCGCTTCCAGCGCTCCAGCAACCAACTGGCAGCTCTGCTCTCCTGACCTGGAGCCTTTAAGCACCCCCCCTTGCAGGTTATAAGCGGAACCCCACAGCGCCCCGGGAACCACAGCCGCTAATGGACAGCTCCATGGCACTTGGCAGCGTTGATTTGTAGCGCTGGAGCCGCTGTGGTGGTGCGCTGGCTGGTAGCCCGTCCGGCCAAGCTGCATCATTCCAATTTTTTTTTTGGTCTTTTTCAGTTTGTGGTTGCAGCGCCTGCAAGAGACGTTCTTGCTTGGAGACTGCCGCAACAAAGCACGAGGAAAAAAAAACGAGCCCAGATCAATCCACAGTACGGAGAGGCTGGCTTGACGTGCGGCTTTGATTCGCACTTGTGCAACTCGCGTTGGAACAACACCAACAGCACAGCCGCCAGAGTCATACGATCGTCCGTTTCTTGCGATGCTTCACTAATTCTTTCTTCATTCGTCTTTTTCTCTTCATCGTCGCTGTGAGTGCGAACCCTAGCCGCTGCACGTTGCCCCGCCTGATCCATCATGCATTGACACCAATGGATAGCTTTTTCACCATCTTGTTCAAACCGCTATCACTGGCCCCAGAGCTTGAACAGCAACACACAGCTAACCGCACGTCATTCCTTTTTTGTCCTACCCGACCTGCCAGCTCTCTTTGCCCAACGGCACCGAGGCATCGTCGGCCTGATTAGACTTTTCACTTGCTGTTTCTCTTTTGTTTTTTTTTGTCCTTTTTTTTTTTTTGTCTCTTACTCTCTGCTCTTCCTGCTGCCGCTGCCCTTTGAGTCGTCGTTACTTTTATCTCAATGATATCTTGACAATCTCTCCTGCACCTCCACCTCCCATCTTGAAAACGTTTTCTCATCCCACTGCAAACCATCCGTGCTGCTCGAGTCCATGGCGGCGAGATGACGGCGACTCCCTCCAGCAACCGGCTGAAGCTTACTCCCTCCAATTCACCTTTTCTCACCTCCCGGCGTGCGAGATCCCCGCTGCGTGGCCGACCCGTTTTCGAATCCCGCCTTTCGCTCAAGAGAGTCGTTGGGACAACATGCCGTTCGCCAACCGCCTTTGATACCGTCAACGACTGTTTCGCCTACACCGCTGGCGGTGCCGTCGTCGTAGTGACTGTCGACGGCGATCAGTACACTCAACGATTTTACCGAGCACGGCCGAGCGTGGTTTCCCTCTACTCCGCCTCCCAGCATGCGCCTTCTACACCGACGACATCGACGGCCCCGAAAGCCAACGATAGCCGCAATCGAGCTGCCGGCCACCGGGATTCTCACAGCGGTTCAGATTGGTCCGATGGGCCCGGCCCCAGGACATGGACCAGTCGCGAGCGCATCAAGGCGGCCACCTGCCTGGGTCTAAGTCCAGATGGCAAGTACCTGGCCGTCGGCGAGACTGGATATGCGCCTCGAGTTTTGATTTTCAACCTTCAAGAGACATCGTCCGATGTTCCCTTGGTCTCAATTAATGAGCATACCTTTGGCGTCAATGCCGTTGCGTGGTCTCCAGATTCCAAATATCTTGCTTCACTCGGTGCTGCCAACGATGGCTATTTGTATGTCTGGAAAGTCGACTCCCGCACCGGCCATACAAAACTCTTTCAGCAAAACAGGTGCACATCATATGTCAAGGATATGGTATGGCTGGGAAATTCTCTCATTACCCTTGGTGTTCGTCATATCAAAATGTGGAAAATTGATGAGAACGCTGGGGTTTCTCCTACCAAGCCCAAATTTGGACTTGATCACCCTCCCTTGTCGCCAAATTCTCAAAAAACTTTGCCTGGCCGAAATATTATTCTGGGAGGGCTTTTGGAGGCAACATTTAACTGCGCTGCTGTCGACGGTGGTAGACTAATCATCTGCACAGAGGCAGGGGAGGTCTGCATTTTAGAGGGCGACGATAAGCAGACAAAAATCATCTGCGTTTTAAGCCTGGATTTCTTTATATCGACGATTGAAATTCGAGGCGACGTTGCGTATGTTGGGGGCAAAGATGGCAACTTTGCCAAAATTGATGTCATTGGGTTGATGGACGGAAGCAAGGACTGCCTTATTGGCACCTCTCAAAACCCGACAGGATTAGCTGCTTTGGGCTTTACTGCTAATAATTCAGTCACCGTTGATGCCAAAGGGTCGATTGACATCTGGGACTTGGATTACATACCCGGTCAATCGGAAAACCCATCATACCATATCCATATTCCTGGCCAAGGAGAGCCTGTCGCTGGTATCTACCCCATGCATAGGCCAAACGAAATGCAAGCAGCTTTCTTGACGTGGTCGAACTCAGGGGTGGTAACCTTCTGGGACTTGGACGGCCAGATGAAAAAGTCGATTAGTATTCCGCTGGAATTCATGAGCGTGCCAGACGCTACCGTGGAATCATCAAATCAGTTGACTTGTGTCAAAATCTCAAAAAGCGGACGTCTCTTGGTTACAGCTGATCGTTTGGGAGTATTAAGAGTCACAGATACTTCCAAGCAAGAATGCATACTTGATACTAAAGCTCACTCAGCTGATTGTACATCTATCAGCCTGTATGAAGAGGAGGAGAAATTTCTAATGGCTTGTTGCGGTAGGGACCGCACAGCACAGCTATTCCACCGCACGTCTAGTGGAAATATTGAGCACTTTCAAACCATTGAATTTGCTGCTCGGGTCGTTCAGGTGCTTATCCTATCGCTTGACAAGGTAGTCACTTGTGCATGGGATCGAACCATGCAGATTCACGATTTGGTCACCAAGGAGGGCAATCCAGATGCAATCGCCGCCATTTCTGCGAGAGTTGTTACTTTAAAGGCATCGCCAACTTCCATGACTGCAAGCTTGGACAGTAGGACAATGTTTGTTTCCATGCTGGACCGGTCGATCTGTCAGTATGATCTCAGAACGGGCCGGCCAATAAACTGCTTCAAATGTATGGATGAGACTGGGATAGAGTCAGCAGTTCTCGAATCCCTTTCTATTGAACAAGGCTCTCCCAGGGATTCCGACTTTTTGCTGGGTGCGTCCAACACTGATAAATCCATACGTCTTTATGATTCTATTTCTGGGGCTTTTTTAGATCGAGAATGGGGCCATACAGAGGCCATCAATGGAGTCTCTTTGGTTGAAGACAACGATGAGGGCAGAAAGGTTGTGAGCGTTGCGGCTGATGGAACAATCATGATCTGGTCTCTTGATGTGCACGAGCGACTGAGCAGAGAACCGTCGCCTGCGAGAGATGCCACTTCTAGCAGGCCAACCCTGCGAAAAGTCTTATCAAAAGCTGAATTAGCGGAATTCCAACGCCCGCGCGAAGTCTCAGGAGGACGACGTTCAATAACACCACCACCTCCATCGCAGTCCCGGACTTTGCGTAAGCGCACGTCTCGGCTCAACCTGTCTACTGCTACCAGCGCTAAGACGCCTTCTGGGACACAGCCAGCCAGCCCTGGTAGTGCCAGGATTATGGACGACACTCCATCACGTCGAAAAGGCATGGGAACTGATGCTAGCAGCCCCCCGCTTAGCCCAAGGTCCCGGCTTTCTCGTAGGCCTTCGCTGCCAGTCTTGAATGACCGCATGGCACGCAAGAAGAATTCCACGCCCAACTTACGTGGGAGCAGCTCGCTAAATGCAGCGACAGAACAAGCTTGTCGCACTCTTAGGGCATACAGGAAGAAGCTATCGTCTGCAGAACCTATAAACCCCGAGGCTCTGAGCGAACTAGATCAAGAGCTGCGATTCACTGCAGCTGCACTGGGCGATCGGGCAATCAGAAGCAGAGCAATGAACGAGACTGTTCTAAGCGGGCTCTTAGACCAGTATTCCGAAAGACTAGTCACCCTGTTGGACGAAAAGCTACGCCTCTCTAATAGCCAACCCATTGAACGGGACGTAGAGGTGTCGAGCGAAGACCGTCGTGGCAGCACAGACGAAACATCAAGCACTACATCGTCATGATGATACTCGATTTAATATTTTATTTCATTGTGTTAGAAAAGAAACCATTATACCACTTATTTTGCGGGACATGGTCAATCACTACATGGACGGAGCAAGTCCACAAATGGCGTTTAGGATTTCATTTATTACCGCGGGAAGCTCAAGATAAAAGGGCTGGAAGGAAGAGGTGAACTGTGCCTCAGATATGGGGCTCTGCTTTTATAGCGCTGATAATGATACCACGGGGAGAGGAAATTGGAGTTTTTTGGTTGGTAAAGCAGATGCATTTTAGTGTCTTATACAGGCAGGTTCGCTATGGCGGTGGTGGCATGAAATTGCCTTTTTTTGTTCTTTTTGTTGTAAACTTTTCAGAGAGATGCGTGTGTGTAACAAGGGACTTAATTGAAGTAGTTCAGCATGCGCGTGCTTGTTGGCATGACTATTACCGAGATAAATAAAAAAAATCAACGCAAAAGAAGAAAACCGTTCTCATGGCTTATGATATTCATGCTGCTATTGCGGCTGATGCCATCGTGACATGCCCGTCAAGCTATCACGTGATGTGGCTGAAGTCGAAGTTTCGCCCTCAGCGCTTCTCGGCTTATTGAATCTTGTTTCCTTTCCATCTCCAAAAATTCTCCAACACAGCTTCCGCTCGCAGCCTCGCCGACGAAACTCTGGCCGTCACGTGATATCGGAACAACTCGGTCGCGAACAGGGAAAAAAAAACAAATCGCGGTCGTGTGAGAGAAGGCAGATCGTAGCGCAATTGAAAAAAAGAAGCGGGCCGTGTCGAGGAGCTACTCTGGTCAGATGAGAAAAGACGTTGAAGCCACTGCCTGAAAGGACCGATATCTGGATCCAAGGCTGCCTGTACGTTGGGTCTTCGGATCATTTTATCCTTCTTTGCCTGTTCCCTTGTAATGACGTAGATGAATATGTGTCCTAACTGCTTCTATCTTCATCGGTGATTAGATCGTGGCGCCCATTTATCCTGTTGCGAAGGAGCGTGAGGGCCTCCTCGATAGCAGGCGAGGCGGACCTTGGGGCATGAATCATCAACCGGCCGCCTACACGCCTCTCGAGTCGCTGTTCCTGTTCCAGTCGCTGCTATCCCACGGGGTCGACGGCGGGGCGTTTGCGCGCATCTCCGAGCTTCTGAAGGGAAATGCTCTCATCAAGAGCGGCGACACATACGATGCTGCGCGTCTGAGCCCGGAGTCTCTGCAGCAGCTCTTCCTGCGGCTGTTGCGAGATGAGATCAAAGGCGAGGCGGAGGGTGCCGATGGGGAGGGGGCAGCAGGAGGTGCTGGTGGTGGTAGTGGTAGCGATGGTTCACGCAAGAGGAAACTGTCAAGCCCACCGTTGCCGACACTAAAGGAGGTGTACGAAAATGTCGATAAAATTCCGATCCTCGTAGATCGATTGTACGCACGCTATCGAGACCATACGGTGGGGCTGATTCGCGAGGATGAACGCAAGTTTGCGATGCTACAGAGGGAGATTCAGCTGTTGGAACGAAGCGAAAAGGAACGGCTTGCTAAATTGGCGGCCAGCCAGAATGTGACGCCGACATTGGCTCCGCGAGATCCAAGGACGGCGACATCGACGACAACGACACCTGCGGCAGCGGCAGCGCAACCACAGGTACCGCCCTCAAATGGAGCGACTCCTTCTCCAGGACAAACGCCAGCAGCGCCAGCGGGCATTAGAAAGGGACCAGCTCCGAACACACATGTCCCACCACCAAAGCCTCCCATCTCTGGTATTGCAGCACCAAAAGTGGCGCCACCCAGTCAGTTGGTGCCTGGAACGCCGCCCCCTCGAACGTCCGCCTTACCAAAACCGCCAAATGGAGCTTCTTCTGTGCTTCAAGCACCTCCTGGGGCTCTTACGCAGTCAACCGCGCAAGTACTACAACCACCATCTGCACAGCAGCCGCCAAAGCAAATCATTTCTCCTCGTCCAGAGACTGCTATTCCACAGCCGCCGCAGCCACAGGCCGCTCCAGGGCCAGCAGCCCCTGGTTCGCTCAAGTGGGAGAAGCCTTATCAGCCTCCACAGACAGCACAGGCTCCTTCAAGTGAGCAATTCTCACCACCAGTTCCCCCTTCGACAAACAATGTTGCTCTTCAAAAGCCTCCTCGGCCACAACCACCACAGCAACAGCAAACATCACCTACACCACCACCGCAGCAGCAGCAGCAGCAGCAGTGGCAACGACAGCCAGTACCTCATCCACAACATCCAACTCCACAACAACAACAACAACAACAACAGTCACATACCCAATATCCTCCACAACAACCACAACCTCCACACGGACAAATTGCACCCTCACCGCAACAGCAACAGGGTCGACCAACCCCAGCAAAGCCTGTTCTCGTCCACCCTCAGTCTGTAGGACAGCTGGTTGCTCCTCTACAGCCTGGACCTCCTCGTCCGGTTGGGCCAGGCGCAGTACCGCAAGTTCGCCCGCCATCAACAACGCCCTCAGCTACCCCAGGGCGCCCCATTCAACCTCAGCAACAGCCCCAGGCCCATCCTCAGCAGCAACAGTCACAACAGGGTCAACAAACCACTCCTCAGCATCAGCATATTCAGAGAACATTACCCGCCCAAACATCTTTGCTGGCTCAGAAATTTCAGTCCAGGGGCCAGAATCAGCGTCCAATTGCTTCCGCAACTACACCCAAAGGAACACCTTCGGTTTCCGCTGGTGGATCTCCCATCCCCAACAAGGCAGTTCCTGGAGCAACTGCGACGCCGCGATGGCAGCCCGGCGCTTCTTCAGCGCAACACGGGGCTCGAGCCGCGACTTCTGCTTCTCCTGCGCCTAAAGATAAGACATTTAACTCGACGAATGCCGCCCAAGTGCCGCGCCCAATTCCAGAACATGTGATTCGGCAAGTTGCTGCTACGCCGCCTGTGAGGCGCCCTAGTCCAGCGTCTTCTATGCCACGGACTCCAGCACCGTCCAGTCCTGTGTCCCTTAAACGAGGTTTCGGAACGAAGTGGGCATCTCAGTCGACGCCGTCTACACCCGGTCCGATAACATCGGAGCCAGAGAGCCCGGCGTATGAGCCCGTTAGCCCTCCTATTCCACGACCTGTAGTCGGGAAGGACTCAGCCAAGGCAGTTCCAAAATTGGCTGTGTCGAAATTGAGTCCGAAAATCGAAGCAACCCCCCCTGCGAAGGCGCCCCGCGGGCGACCTCCTCGATCGATGCAGAAAGGCCGCGGTGCGAGCGCAACTCCCTCTGCTACGGGCACGAGGAGAAGCCAGTCCGTGGTATCTCAAACAGATGAGCTCTCCCTAGACCATTCCGTGACTAAAGTGAAGAAGGAAGCGGCTGCCACGCCACGTCTTCGTGAAGAGACCGGCGATACCACTGCCGATGAAAGCATGCCAGGACGTGGCCTCCTAGCCACACCAAATAGTATGGCCCGTGCATCCAAGCGGAAGCGGCAAGATACCCCTACTGACCTTCAAGGCCCTCCAACGCACGTTCTATGGACCAGAGGATTCACCAAGGTATCCTCGTCCGCCCTTGATCAGATATCAAGCCATCGCGATGCAAACATGTTTGCTACCGCTCTGCGAGAGAAAGACGCGCCGAATTACAGGCAGATCGTTCTGCAACCACAAGACATTACGTCCATTCGTTCTGCGATAAAGGCAGGTAACAAGGCAGCATTGCAAGCGGCGGCTAATCTGCCCGGCGGTGATCCTGGTACGGCAAGTGTCTGGCTCCCCATCTCTGACGACCTCGTTCCTCCCAGAGGAATTATCAATAGCGCTCATCTTGAGCGCGAGCTGGTGCACATGTTCTGTAATGCGATCATGTACAACCCTGATCCGGATCGCGGTCCCGGGCCAGCATTCATGAGAAGGTCTCAGAACGACGAGGAAGAAATTGTTGGGTACCGGCTCGACGAGAATGGGGTTGTTAAAAACACGCAAAGCATGTTCCTAGAAGTCGAGAAGCTACTCGGAGACCTGCGAGCGGCAGAGAAAGATCGAGGCATTCCGCCGATATCTACGACTAGGCAAGGCAGCGTGGCCACCCCGGCGGAAGACACTGCCGAGGAGGAGGATGAACTTGCTGGCGATGGGGACTCGGCTTCGGCGTCGGGGACGGCCAAGCGACGGCGCATCAGTACCAGGAGTTAGAAACAGCCTATGCTTATGAAAATGCGCGGCGAGATTACTCCTCGTGGTAGAGGATCTCGAGCTCGAAGGCGATCTCGAACTTCGAGATTCTCGAAATAGGCTTAAGAGAGAAGGGAGTTTGGCGGTCAGCGACGAATTTTATAGTTTGTTGCTTTTTTTTATTCCTGGGATGCTTGTTGAGTTGTGTATAGCGCTGCTTTTTTTGTTAGAATTAACACCTTTGTCAGAATAAATTACCACCCAACTTAATTGGCCTTACTTTGAAATACCATTGCAGCGGGTTAACCGTTGATCAAAGCTTACATTTCGACTTGATGATTATGCCTTGAGTGTTGCGTAGACTCAGACATTGTAATTCAGATTGCAAGTGGTACATCATATAATCTTGTACATTATTCAATTGTTTGGCTGGTAATTAAAACGCTACACTAACATGGGGAGATTTGCTACAATTATTCTCAGTGAGCCCCGACTTTCCCAATACATTTAATTTGAAATTCCTTCCGACTTGCCATCATTAATCCGCCACCTGTACCCCCAAGTCTATATATTATAGGTGCCCTTTTCATCATCATCATCATCGATCCAACTTCGGAACCCTAATCGACGAAGTTGAACGCTGATTTGGCGCAACCTTCATCGAATCTTGCGCCGTGTCCTTTGCGGGAGATTTCCTTGGCCAGTCTCTGCAAATGTCGATATTCTCCCTAGGGAACCACCACTCGAGGAACAAGAAGAACAAGTAGTCCACGACGACGCACAGGCAGAAGAGCTTCCCGGCCCAGATGCCGCAGCCGTAGTACCGCTTCAGCCGATCAATCAGCGCAAAGTCGCGGATGCGACTCCCGTTGTAGCCAGTGGTGTCGAAGCCGTAAAACTCTTCCTCGCTAATGGTGCCGCAGATGCCGTCGTAGACGCGCTCCGTGCGCATAGCGACGTTGGACCACGAGTACATCTTTTTTACCTCGTCGTGGAACTTCTCGGTGCGGATCTTGCCAGCCCGCATGGCAGTGATGGCTTTGCCCGTGGCGGCGACGATGTCGTCCTCTTCGGGCTTTGCAAAGGTAGTCATGTGCGAGGGGAGGACCTCGGGGATGCCGCCGACTTGGGTGCACACGACGTAGAGGCCGCACGAGGCCGCTTCGACAATGACAGTGCCAAAGGCCTCTGTTAGGGAAGGATGGAGGTAGATGTGGCCACGGGTCATGACGTCGCGGACGTCCTCATGGCGGATGGGGCCAAGCATCTCGACGCGATCCTGCAGCACGTTGGTCTCAATCATCTGCTCTAGGTCAATAGCCTTGGGGCCCGAGCCGGCGATGATGAACCGGGTGTTGGGGTGGTTCTCCAGGATGCGAGGGATGGCGGCGGTGAGGAGATCGGTGCCTTTGTTGTAGAAGAGGCGGGATATGACGACAATGGTAATGACGTCGTGGGGGCCGAGGGGACGAGGAGATGGCTCGGCCCTGAAGCCTTCTCCCTTCTCGGATAGTGTTGGATAATCGCGAGGCCGAAAGTTTTCACCCACGACGGCGTTGGGTATTACTGATACCATGAGGGGATCTAGCGAGGCACGCAGTACAGTGTTTTCCTTGCTAAGAGATGGGTTAGAAAAGAGTTTATACTCATATTGAAAACGTGACTATGAATCATGACGCATCAGCAGCATCTCACTCACCAAGTATGGCTCACACATATGCTGTGATCTACATCGCTCAAAATGAACTTGAGCAGTTTATTCGTCAAGATGCTGGCGGCATCCGCGAATCCAAAAAGCGAATGATCGGTAAACACGGTTCTCAGCCCCATCGTCCTCGCATGCAGGATGGCTTCGTGGCAGAGAGAGCTGAGACTTCCATGGCCATGGACGATTTCAATCTGCTCGCGGATGCAGATGTTGCGCAATATGGGGAAGAAGGAGAAGACGGTGGGGAAGGTGGCCGCCCGGTAGATGACGAGAAAGGGCACGTGGTAGACCTTGAGGCCGTTGTTGAGGTAGCGAACGCCCTTGCGGTCGTCGTAGGAGTGTGTGATGATGATGACTTTGTGGCCTCTGTCGATGAGCTTGCTTGAGAGTTGGTAGATGTGAGATTCGACGCCGCCGGGCTGGGGGAAGAAGAAGTCGCTGACCATGGCGATGTTGTATGTTTTGCGCCCCATTGTGTCGTGTTGGTGGTGAAGATTTGAAACCTGAGTCTTGTGGCTTGATGTCTGGGTCATGGATCTTCGCGATGATGATGATATTGAGACTGATGCTGGGACTGAAGATGAGTTGAATGGGCCAGCCTCTTCTTCATGGCCATCTCATTTCGTCTATTACAAAAGCTCTGGTTCCGTTTCCTGTTTGCTTCACCTCATCTCATCTGGTGTCATCTCTCCACACCCAATTATCCCAGAGCTTCTGATGCTCGTTCAAGATCTGTAGAAGCGCGACACTGGTTGGTTCGAGGTTAGAGGCCCCTTGTGAGGCGCAAATGGCAGTGGCTTCTTGTGATAGGCTCACTCCCCCAAATTGGCTATGTCTCCAGTGGATGACGCTAGGCGCTCTGATAAGCGTGGCGGTGAAAGGCGGCAAAATCCCGATAACAGCTCTGCCGCCAAATTTTTGGACGAGCTATCGCGGGCTAGCCATTCGCATCGCATTGTACTGGCTTGAATAGCGACGGTGAAGCTGTCGGCGCAGCGCATTTCTGTTTCTCTCTTTTTTTGAGGCCAATTGGTTTATATACTCATATATTTTTCTGTCTTCTTTCATTTCTCTCAAAAAAAGAAAAATGTATGCTAGGTACATCCCTCCGTCCGGAGGGCAGAAGCCTCTGCGCAAAAACGAGGATTCTTCAGCAACGAAACAGTCACCTGCACCATCTGCTCCTACGACAACGAATGTGGATGGACTTTCCTACTCCCGCTATATCCCTAGCGCAAAGACCTCGCAGCAAGACGCACTGCCAATAATTCAACGGTTCGAAGATGAGTCGAGTTCTACGACGCCTAAGAGAAAACGAGACGAAGAAGAGCAGCTGCCAGTATCCGAAAATAAAAAATCAAAGAAATCAAAGAAAGAGAAACATGATAATGAATCAGAAGAGGCCGAAAGCGCTCCGAAGGAACGAAAGGTGAAAGAATCAGAGCAGGAGGGAAAGAGGAAGAGGAGGAAAGACAAAAAGAAAAGAGATGCATCAGACGATGAAGACGACGAGCCCACCTCCAACGAATCAATATCTCACCAAAACGAGGCCGTTGTCGACGGGGCAGATACTGGCGCTCATGACGAAGATGCCGATATGGTAGATGAGGATCCTGCAGCCGAAAGCGACCTAGAAGCCTCTGAGCCTGCCGAAAAGCAAAAGAAGCCACCTAAAAGGGAGAAGAAGAAGAAATCACAAGACGTTGATACGGAAGATGCTCAAGAAGAGGACGAGGACAAACGACACAAAGCCGTCTTTGAACGAAAGGCCAAATCGCTCAAGTATTCAGAAATGATCAAAGAGCAAGGCATCGTGGAGGAGCCGGAAGAGCCCACAGAGCTTCATGGCTTAGAGCCTCTCCCACAGCCCGAGCCCGCCGCACCGAGCACAGCCAAACCCACGTACGAGACACTCCCGCCGTGGCTTGCAGCGCCAATCCGTGTCTCGCAAGATACCCGAACTCCCTTTGCGGATCTTGGTATCCTTCCAAAAGCAGCTCGATATCTGGAGCAAAAGGGATACACGGAAGCGTTTGCTGTCCAGACAGCGGCCCTGCCGCTACTGCTCCCAACAAACAAACAACAACCAGGTGATCTCCTCGTTTCAGCCGCGACTGGCTCTGGAAAAACCCTAGCCTATGCTTTACCCATAGTAAGGGATCTAAGCAACAGTGTCGTCACAAGACTGCGCTGCCTTGTTGTCCTACCCACCCGTGAACTCGTCAAGCAAGCACAAGAAGTATTCGAGCTCTGCGCAAAGGCGTACGAAGGAGAGGACAGGAAGAGGGTGCGCATTGGCATCGCAATCGGCAACCAGTCCTTGGCTTCGGAACAAGATGTTCTCGTGACCAGAGAGACACGATACGACCCAGAGGCTTATAAGCAGCTCGAAGAAGAGGCGTCGCATAAACCCTCAGCAAGTGCCAGTGAGGAAGACTTGGACGAGCTTCTCACCAGCTCCGACACACGGCGTATTGACCCTCGTATTGGGCCTTGGCAGGGCCAAGTCATCGATTTCCATTCCAAGGTCGACATCCTCATCTGCACGCCCGGCCGTCTCGTCGAGCACATCGACCAAACACCGGGCTTCACGCTCTCCTATATCCGCTGGCTCGTTGTTGACGAAGCCGACAAGCTCCTTGCGCAAAGCTTCCAGGGATGGCTGGACGTTGTGCTGGATAAATTCAAGGCAAACAGCTACGGCGCCAGGGATTTCCCCGATATGCCTTACTCGGGCGTCCGCAAGATTCTTCTCAGTGCCACCCTGACCAGAGATTTGAGTCTCCTGAATCAGCTCGCCTTGAAGAGGCCGAAGCTGATCGTCCTGGAAAGCGGTAATGACGTGCAGGTTGCGGAACATTCATTGCCGGAATTGTTGAGAGAGTATGCCGTGAGAGTGCATGACGCGAATCTCAAGCCGTTGTACCTTCTCGATCTTTTACGGAGCCGACACATGGCTGTCGACTGTGATTCGACCACCAAATCGGATGACGCAGCTACGGAAGAACAATCAGATTCGGCTTCAGAGACCAGTTCGGACGATTCAAGCTCTAGTTCCGACTCAGATTCGGATTCTGACGATTCAAAGACTAGTTCAGATACTGATACAAGCTCGGATTCGGATTCAGACTCAGATTCAGATGCAAGTTCAAATACAAAAGAAAAGAAACCACGCTCTTCGCTGTCCAATTCACAAATGCCCAAGGCACTCATATTCACAAAATCCAACGAGGCTGCGCTGCGATTGTCACGACTCCTCACCATCCTCGACAAATCCCTCGACACACAAATCAGTACCCTCACATCCACTACACCCACAAGCATCCGCCGCAAGACCCTACGAGCATTCACCACTCCTTCTTCGCCCTTACGCCTCATTATCGCATCCGATCTTGTTGCACGTGGTATTGATATCCCGAAGCTACCACACGTCGTCAACTACGATCTTCCGCCCAGCGTGGCCGGCTATGTCCACCGTGTAGGCCGAACTGCTCGAGCAGGCAGGTCCGGATGTGCCTGGACGCTTGTGGGAGATGGAGAGAGTGGTTGGTTCTGGGGTAAGATTGGTAAAGGCGCCGGCGTGAAGAGAGCACAGAAGGTGGGCAGAGTGATGATAGAGGAGATGAACGATGATAGAATAGAAGAGTATGAGAGTGCGCTAGAGAAGCTAGGCAAGGAGGCGCTCGAGTCACGAAAGAGATAGAGATAACTTGTCGGAGGCTAAATAGAGACAAATACAATGATAATATCCATGAGACAGAGAACTCAAGAAAGCTTTTAACAAATACCTACCATGCTCGGCTGACGGTGCTGTGTCACAATTGTGTGCAGTGACAATGGGTCCTATTGTAAAGGGGCAAGTTCAAATCCTCAGCTTAGTTGTCGGTATCCCAGACATTTGCCTCCTGGCGAGTAGTACGGATGCCAGACGGCTCAACTCTGGGCCTGTTTTCTTCATCGGTGTTGTTGGTCAGACTCTGATATCCTAGCGGGCGGGGAGAGTCCTCTTGTTGCTCAACAACCTCGTCTGCATCTACATCGGGGATGCCTGCGAGTAGTGGACGGCTCTCTCGGTGATTGACCTGCTGCTGTCGGTGCCAGCTAACGGAGCGCCATGCAGTCCACCAGTTGGTGCCTTCTCTGGTCATGAGCAGGCTCAGAATCTGTTTGAATCATGAATACATCAATCTATAAGAGAAAAGGGGGAGAGGATAAGCTCACCTGCAACAATCCCACCGCCACGACAACCCCGAAGTCTGCTCCTGCACTGCTCCTGAGCGCCGACCTCCAGGGTCCTCTGCACACCTGATTCCGGCCAAACATGCCAGCACAGGCCTTTGGATCGGAAATGGGATAGGCCCTGTCTTTGAGGGTGTTCAGGCCGCAACAGTTCAAGGTATCTTGAATCAAGCGAATCGCCTCCCCATTGCGGTTACGCCACAAGTGCTGCCACTGGTTGTCTATCAGACATTCCACCGTTTCCGAAGGCACCACCTTTTCGAAGAGCAGTGTGGCGAGGATGGTGGTGAAAAGACCCTGGAGGGTTTGCAGGATGGTTGGGCTGAGTCGATGGAGAGGGTTTGATGAGTTGCGGGCGGAATGAAGCAAGCTGGGGTATATGAAGGAGTTGAGAAACGAGAAGACGGGCAGAAGCACCGTGAGGATGGTTACGGCTGAGCTGACTGGGAGGGATAGATGAGCGCTGTGGAAATGGACGACCCTGTTTTCAAGGCATCGTGTAAGTTGTTTGGCGGGCACAAATCGTGAGCTAGAAACTGGGGGCTTATTGTGTATATTAACTTACGCTGCGATGCCGAATAGCGCGGAGAAGGCCTGAATTGACATTTGCATTAGCAATCCGAAGAGAAGAATTTGAGAATTGCAGACATTTCATACCAGCAGAACTGCAAGCCCCAGTCCAAATGCCATTTTGCTTTTTTCTTGTTTATCAAAGCCCGATGCGAAGCAGCTCAAGAACAATACAACACACGTAGCAAGGCAGTAGTACTAGAAGCCTCAGCGCTTCTTCAGTGTAAGTGACACGAACACACAGGCACAGCAGCGAGATATACGAGACAAATGATGAGCACGGCGTGACAATGGCTGGATTGACATGGAAGCAGCGAGAACAAGGTGAAGAGGTGATTTTCCCCCTCCCTCTCTCTGCGGTTTGTGTCATATCACAGTGGTGGCGCTGCCTGATTGGGCGGCGTGTGCATGTCTCGCTACGCGCCCTGAAGCACTAAGGCGGGAGGCCTGCGAAGTACCTGTACAGTGAATGGCGATGGTTGCACTGACGGTAACCGCAAAGTCACTGCACAGGGCTGTATAAATTATGTCCATCTTATGTCCATTTGCTCTGCCTCTTCTTGTCACTTGTCACAAAAAAAAAAGATATGGGCAGCAAAGAGGGGGCGGCTACCTTGTTTGGCATATCAATTCGATAGCGGAAGTTCGTTGGCCGGTGCTTCAAGATGCCGCTCTACCGGCGGTATTTACAAGGTCGTGATCGAAAAGGCATCTTTCCCAAGACACTATTTGAACGACCTCGTAGCTGGGTTATCCTGTGCAGAATATAAGTTTTTTTTTTTTTAGCATGATTTAAGCTATCCAAATAGTAAGTAACCTCTAGATGCAAGTCTATCCACCACGGCTCCAGCAGATATGGCAGCTTGGCAGAGTTCAGAAAAACAACCCATAAACCAAAATACAAGTTATATGCACCTAAAATACGACTGCACGAAAGAGTGGTGGAACGTATTTTTCAACCTTTTCTCCCATCCTTTCTCTGTCTACTCTAAAGATTCATTCCTCATCTTACTGCTAATATGTACTCTACGAGGTATTAGGCTAAGAATATCATCCTCACACTGGGGGGTATAGACACCCTTTGAAAAGAGATGATTGGCATCAAAAACTCGTTCGTGCGTGTCAAACATACAGCTCAATAGCAGCAAGAAGGATTACAATCGCACATTTTTGTAATAAATTGCTTGCCCAACTCTACGCATCAGCAAGATACGATATGGCACAAGGCTCGTATACTAGATAATCCCACGGAGCAAGGCCAGCACTAGCACTCGAGAACGGCCATAAAACCCGACGGCTAATTATCAACTACATCCCAACAAACGAGTTGGCAATAGCTTATTGCGCACCTACAAGATGAACTACATCACGCCTATTATGATAGAAGAGAACAGTTCAAAATTAAGGGAGTCATTCAGTTTCATTCATGGCTAGCTACCATCAGACTATTAACATACAAGCAAATGAAAAAGAGATCAGCTACCCAGCAATCTCATACTATTCGTAACAACTCGTTCCTTTTTTTATATAGCTTTTACAGTATTTTTTTTTTCTTTAGTTGATTGGTGACTTGCCACCACCAATGCGGATGGTCACAGACTTGTTCTGGGTGTAAGCGTTGAGCGCTTCCTCGCCCAGCTCACGACCAATACCAGACTGCTTGAAGCCACCGAAAGGAATCTGGGCGTGGAGGAAGTTGTAGTTGTTGACCCAGACGGTACCGGCGTGGAGCTCGTTGCTGACTCGGATGGCTCGGTCAAGATCCTTGGTGTGGATGGCAGAAGCCAGGCCGTAGGTAGAGTCGTTGCTCAGTCGGAGGACTTCCTCCTCGTCCTTGAACTTGGCAATGGCAGCGACGGGTCCGAAGATCTCCTCGCGCATAATCTTCATATCGTGACCGACATCACTGAAGATGGTGGGCTTGATGAAGTAGCCCTTGTCGCCGTGTCGCTCTCCACCAATCTCAAGCTTGGCACCCTCTGACTTGCCAGCATCGATGTAGCCCATGATGCGGTCGAACTGAACCTGGCTGATCTGAGGTCCCTGGAAAGACTCGGGGTGGGTTGGGTCGCCAACCTTGTTCTCCAAAACGCGCTTCTTGAAGGCGGCAATGAACTTGTCGTAGATGCCCTCCTGGACGTAGATACGGGTACCAGCACTGCAGGTCTGGGACTGGTTGTAGAACATACCATAGTTGACCCATGAAACGGCCTGGTCGAGGTCGGCATCGTCGAAAACAATGTTGGGTGACTTGCCACCGAGCTCAAGAGTGACCTTCTTCAGGTTGGAAGAGGCGGCAGCCTTCATGATAGCACGGCCAGTAAGGGTTGAACCGGTGAAAGCGACCTTGTCGATATCCATGTGGGAGGCGATGGCAGCACCAGCGGTCTTGCCAAAGCCGCTGATGATGTTGTAAACTCCGGGAGGGAAGCCAGCCTCATTGATGAGCTCAGCTACGAGAAGAGCAGTAAGGGGAGTCTGCTCAGAGGACTTCAAAACGACGGCGTTACCGGTGGCCAATGAGGGGCCAATCTTCCATGCAAGCATGAGCAGGGGGAAGTTCCAGGGAATGATCTGACCGCAAACACCAAGCTACACGAAAATGACGGCGATTAGTTATTTGATTCCCAGGAGTAGCTGTGCGTAGATGGGCTTGTTCACTTACAGGCTCGTACTTGGTGTAGACCATGTAGTCGGTGTCAATGTCAATAGTCTTGCCGTGAATCTTGTCGGCCCAGCCACCATAGTATCGGATGCATGCGCTGACAAGCTGGAGTTCTCCAGTGGCCAGGGAGATGGGCTTGCCGTTGTTGTAACTCTCAACGGCAGCGAGCTTCTTGGCATCTCGGTCAATCAAGTCGGCAAGCTTCAACAGCATGCGACCACGGTCGACGGTGGCAGTCTTCCTCCATGTTGTGTTGAAAGCCTTGCGAGCAGCGACAACAGCGATGTCGACGTCCTTCTCGGTAGCTTCGCAGACAGAGGTGATGACCTCCTCAGTCGCGGGGTTGATAACCTCGAACTTCTTCTTGTCAACACCCTCAACGAACTCGCCGTTGATGAACCTTTGAAAGCCCACATGTTAGCTATTGTGAATAAACCACTAGCGGTGGCGAAGACAGCAAGCGGGGTGGATAAAGAACTTACAGGCCAATTGGCTGGGTATAGGTCCCGTAATTGGGGGCGTTGAGCTCAACGGTCAAAGTCATTTTGAATGGTTGTTTAGGTTGATATATATAAGGAAGAAAAAAGGTTCAGCCGGCTCTTATATAAAAGAGAAGAAAGAAGAAAGAAAAGCAAAATCAAATGTGAGGGGCAGGAGGGGTATTTATGACGAAAGGATAAGACAGTTGATACTGTATGAAAGAGATGGAGGAAGAGGAAGGAATCAAGTCGGGGACAACTGGACCTTTTTATTTGTAACAAGCAGCGGCTGTTTCCTGCACGCAGCCCGTTCCCATTATTAAGGAGCCCTCCTCTGGGTCCGTATTTGCCTCCATCTTGGTCGCAAGAGCGGGGGCGATGCTTCAAAGAGCTCTAGACGAGCAGTGATGCTCCGTACCCCATCCCATATCTCCATCGCGCATACAAAAGTATGGAGACCGCATGGATACGGTCCTCCCAACCGTCTACAAGGGTGCGAGCGTCTTCGAGACCCCCATCCCGTCGCCCTCAGCCCGCCCACATCAAGGCCACGGTGCATTGGGCCCCGATAGCATGCCAATAGGGATTGATTGTACTGCTCCCTGGTCGGGCTGGCAGCTACAAAGCATCCCTCTAGTGCCAAGCCCGGCTGCGACGCCGCCGCCGCGCCTCTTTCTTCGCTCGGCTCCCCGCCAGCTTTGATGCCCTCCGCACTGCTCTATAGCGACGATATCCGAGCCACAGTTGCAGCGAGCGGTACTTCGTAATTGTGCATGTACATGCTTGCGTGCAGACAGACGCACTGACTAGTGCGTTTGCTGCTTCAAGCCTAGAGCGCCCATCTTGTTGCAGGAGATCCGCTGCGGGCCCCGGGCTGCCGGGGAGGGGGCCAGCTCGAGTTCGTCAGGGGGGCGATTTGTGCGCAAGGCCGGCATACAGTGCTGCAGCATCTGGTAGGCCACGCTCCTTGGCTCCGGACCAGTTGCTGCTCCTCGTTCCCCACAACGCTGGCCATCTCCAGAGCGGCGCTTGTGTCGTAGAGGGTGGTTGGAGGCGAACCGAGTGGTGCTAGGCGTGAGTAGGAGTAGTCGCTCCTGGCGGGAATGCCCCAGAAGGGGTTCCAGGCGCATCACCGAGCCCGAATCAGAGCGGCTCTGGGGTTGTTGAGGAGGTTCCCCGCAGCACATCCGGTGGCTAACAAATGATGACATTTCTGAGGCAAGCCTTCACCAAATAAATGCGTGTACAGTGAGTGCAGTGCTCCGTATATCTTCGTATATGGGACGATCAAACGAGGAGCCATGCGGGTTTCATCTTGCTGCGATATTGCCCATCCAGATGCCCTATTTTGCTGCCATTGTGTTGTTTCTGCGCAAATTCGTGGCATCTTTTTTCTCTATCGAGGCAGCCCTATTTCCTTGCCTTCTCCGCACTCGCAACCTCGCGCCAGTTCTCCGCCCAGCCAGTTTCTGTCCGCTCCATTTTCCTTTTTTCCTTTGAGGGCAGTAGTAGGTACTGCATAGAGAGGCCTGGTTGGTTCACACCACCATGCTGGCTGGCTGCTGTAAAGAGAGAGTGATCGCCTCGTTGCTGCAGAGCGTTGGCTTGATAGTCCCCCATGCCCGGCTCAGCGGGTGCCAGCGGGTGCCAGCGCATGCAAATCCTATCTCTAGCACCGGCATAAGTATTAACCTAATCACTGTACGTGTAATCCAGAAGAATCCCTTGCACCGAGTTGGCAGTCAATCTGATCCTCCGTAGAAGCACGCCCTAACCAGGCACCTAGTCCCCGTGGACGCTATCGTGCTAGCCAGGGCGTTTGGCTGAGATACGCTCGTCCCGACTTGAGAACATTTCCAGCATATCCCGTCTACACAAAGACACACACTACCTATACATCACAACGCCGAGTTGCATTCGCAAAAGATACCGTCAGCAACACCCAGGGTGTAACACACGTAGTATATTCAGGGCGA